GGGAGCGGACCCGTATCCCTCCGTTCGTTCAGCGGGAGAGCGCAGCTTTCCCCCGAGAGGGAACCGCATCCCTCGCTTTCCTCTCCCCGTATCCCTCCGTCCTTTCTTCTTTCGCGGGGAGCACGCATCCCTCCCTCCTTGCTTCGGGGGCTCTGCTTCCCTCCATCCTTCCTTTCTCCGGGGGTGGGGGGGAACCCTCATTCTTCTCCAGAGCGACCTGCGTCCCTCCACCCTTTCCTTCCTCTGGGGAGGAACGCACATCCCCCGCCGTTCCTCCGCTCCAGGGCAGCCCGCATCCCTCCATTCCTCAGGGAAAGAACCCGCATCCCTCTCCTTCCCCGTGGCACCCCGCATCCCTCCAACCCTCCTCCACCCACCCGCGCGTCCCTCCCGCCGCCGAGTGAGCTGCTCCGCTCCATCCCTCCTTCACCTGCATCCCTCTTTCACCCAAGGCGCTGCGGGGATGCGCGGAGCCCTCGTTCCGCCGAGACACCGCGGATCCTCCGCCGCCGCCCGCGCCTCTCCCGCGGAGCGGAGCGGCGGCAGCGCGGGGGGCCGGGGCCGGGGGGCTCGTGGCGGCCCGGCTTGGCTCGGTTCGGCCCGGCCCGGCCCGGTTCGGCTCGGTTCAGCCCGGCTCGGCTCGTACCTGCTGCCCGCAGCCGCTGCCCGCAGCCTCTGCGCCGGGGGGAGCGGCGCGCGGCACTTTTCATTCATGCTTTCACACTCCGGCCCTCGCCGCCAGCGCTGATTGGCCCGCGCCCGCCTGACGTCACCCGGCCCGTTCCCACCCCTCTGCAGCGCTCGCCCTTCATCAATGGGCTGGGGAGGGGCCGCGCGCACACGCGCGCCGCCGCCGCCCGGACCCCCGCCCGGACCCCCGTCCTCGCCATCGACCCCCGGTCCCCGCCCGGACCCCCGTCCTCGCCATCGACCCCCCGGTCCCCGTCCGGACCCCCGTCCTCGCCATCGACCCCCGGACCCCCGCCCGGACCTCTGTCCTCGCTATCGACCCCCGTCCTCGCCATCGACCCCCGGACCCCCGCCCGGACCTCTGTCCTCGCCATCGACCCCCCGGTCCCCTGACCGGACCTCTGTCCTCGCCATCGACCCCCCGGTCCCCGCCTGGACCCCCGTCCTCGCCATCGACCCCCCGGTCCCCGCCTGGACCTCTGTCCTCATCATCGACCCTCGGCACCCCCGTCTGTAACCCCCGTCCTCGTCATCGACCCCCGGTCCCTGCCCGGACCTCTGTTCTCGCCATCGACCCCCTGATCCCCGTCCGGACCTCTGTCCTCACCATCGACCCCCGGTCCCCGCCCGGACCTCTGTCCTCGCCATCGATCTCTGGACCCCCGTCCTCGCCATCGCCCCCCGGTCCCCGCCTGGACCTCTGTCCTCGCCATCGCCCCCCGGCTCCGCCGCCGCCCGGACCCCCGCCTGTCACCCCCGTCCCCGCCCGGACCCCCAGCACCCCCGTCTGTAACCCCCGTCCTCGACATCGGCCCCCGGACCCCCGCCTGTCACCCCCGTCCTCGACATCGCCCCCCGGACCCCCGTCTGTCACCCCCGTCCCCGCCATCGCCCCCCGGACCCCCGTCTGTCACCCCCGTCCCCGCCATCGCCCCCCGGCTCCGCCGCCGCCCGGACCCCCTCCTGCCCCATCGCCGCCACCGCCTCCGCCGCTCCGCTCTCTCCCGCCCAGTGCCACCGCCAGCAGCACCTCCAGCATCACCCTCAGTCGCCAACATCACCCTCATCATCCTCATCATCATCATCATCGGCACCCTCATGGCCTGGACTTCACCAGGCTCCTCATTGCCGTGGCCATCGCCACCACCCCCGTGGCCACCGGTCACCGCTCGTGGCCACCAGCCCTGGGCAGCACCGAGTGTCTCCTCCAGCAGCCGTGCCCACCCTGCCAGCTCCGTGCCCCCGGCTCAGCCTCCCTGGCTGCCCCTTCTCGGGGAGGGGAACATCGCCCAGCGCCAGGGCCTGTGCAGATCCCCGATGGAATCAAATCCTGCTTTACCTCCTTAGTTTAAACCCCACCATTAATTACCCTTTGATTTTCCTGCTATAATACAGATCCCATTAAAAAAATAAAAATAAAAACCACCATGATTTTTCCTTGAACAAGAACAGAGGATTGGGGTGGGTTTTTTTTTTTTTCATTTTCTCTTAAATGTTTCTTTACCTTGGAATTATTTTTTTCCTAGTGAAAAGCCATCAGCTTTTGGGTCTGTGAGTTTGGGCTGGGAAGTTACTCATGGCTTTTGTCTCTTTCTGGAGCTGGATTTTCCCGCTGCCACCACCAGTGCAGCAAGTCCAACCTGCCAGGGCCCCCTCTCCCAGCTGCACCCACTGGGAAAATAGGAACCCACTGGGAAAATAGGAACCCACTGAAAAAATGGGAACCCACTGGGAAAATAGGAACCCACTGGGAAAATAGGAACCCACTGGTCTGGCCCCCATCAGGCCTGGAGCGGGGAAAGGGGGACGTGGAAATAGCCCCAAAATAGCCCTGGGGCTCTGCTCCTCAGCTCTTCCTGCCCGTGGCTCCTGCCCGGTTCTCTGTGAGCCCCCCCTGCACAAAAAGGGATTTTGGGGGTGCTGCGTTGCACCGTTCCCCTTTCCCTTCGTCCACATCCAGCCTTGGCTGGGGGGAAAATGCAGATTTCTGGAAGACTCTGTGGGTGCTCATGGGGGAAGGGAGGGCACCCAAAGGTCCTCTCACCTTCACCCCCTTCCAAATTAAAGCCTCCAACTTCTTTTAGGGCGGGGGTCCGCCCCGACCCCTCCCGGGGGCGCTGCCCGTGATTTCTCCCTCCGTGGGTCCCCATCACCCACCTGGGCCGCGGCTTCTCCTTCGTGGGCAGAGCGGGGCCGGGGGTGTCCTGCAAGAAAAGGCCGAGAGGGGTCGGTTAAAGCGGCAGCAGCCCCCGAGCTGCCCACGCACCCCCGTGGCCGTGGGGCAGCTCTGTGGGTCCCGGCGGGACCGGTTTTAACCATTCCCCACCGCCACAAAAATGGGATTTTAGGGATGCAACCGCGCGCCTGCCCCTCTTTTGATTCTCCTCTTTATTAAATTCACCTACATTTTTTTAATTCTTAATTTCTATTTCAATCCCCTCCAGAAATTATACGGTTTTTTTTGAAACCTGATAAAAGAAGAAACACGACGAATTTTGCGATTTATCCTGAAAAAGGCTGCAAAAACAGGGATTTCGCTTTCAAATTTGGATTCACCCTGGGATTATCCCGATGACAGTGCATTTTTATTTCTAATTTTATTTAACATCGCGTTAGAACCAGCCCGATCTGGGAGGATTTAGGGAAGGGCACGAGCGATTTGCAGAAAATGCTCGAGTGTGTTTTGAGTGTCTTGACAAATAAAAACCTGCTCCGTGCTTCGTTGTCTTTCTGGGGAAAAAAAATAATATCCAAACGGCAAGAAATCAGAAGGAGCCGCGCCGCGATCGCGGGATCTCCCTTTGAACGGCAGATTTCAGGATTTCCAGCCTTAAAACTTCCACGCACACCAGCGCATATAGAAAAACTTAATTTCCGGGAGCTAAAAACGGAGCCGAGCAGGGCACGACCTGACCCGGTGGGTACCATGTGATTTTTTTTTGCAGACGGCAGTCAACGTACGACCCGAAAAATAACCCAAAATAAGCCCAGGTTGATTTTTACCCGCGCACTCTTTGAGCGCAGCTTCTTCCCCTCGCTGAGGAAAGAATCAAGAACAGACTGCAGGGATGAGGCTTTTTAAGACCAAATCAAATCAGCAACAGCAACAACAACAACAAAAAAAAGACAATAAGAACTAATATATAAGTTAAAATAAAAATTAAAATTAAAATTAAGATTAAAGCATCATTGGCAGAGGAAAAAAATCCCCCCAAAAAAAACCCCATGCGGGATTTTTCACCGGGCCCGCTGCAACCGAGAGGCGGTTTTGGGTCGGGGCATCACGTTTGGTATCAATAACTTCTCAAAAAAAACCCTAAACCCATTTAATTTGAGTGCCCTGCGCGGCCTGATGGAGGGGAGGCCACCCCACGGCAGGAATTCTCAGGTTTAGGGGTACCCACGGAGCGGCTCCCACCTTGCTGTGGTGGGGCAGAAATTTGGGGAATGCCGCGCGGGGCGTGGGGCGGTGGGGAGGAATCGCTGCCCCTCGGGGGCTCTGCCGCGGGTGGGATGTGCAGAACCTTCGCTCCGGGTCTGTTTCCACGCTCCTTTTATTCGCTGGCCTTTGCTTACGCCAAATTTGGGGTCCGGCTCTGCGCATCCCACCCCTCCCAAAATCCTGCTCAGTGATGGGGGGACCGGGCCCTCCTCTCCCGCTCACACGGGTGACCGTGTCCCCACCCCACGGCTTGGCCCGACCCCGGAGCGAGGATTTGGGGGTGCCTCCGCCTCCCCCCCACGGGAGACTCCGCGAGCATCCCCTGGAGCAGAGCACAAAGCCCCGTGGGCTGGCGGGGAGGCCACGCGTGGAGCGGGGACGAGACCCTTGAGTGGCCAGGCCGCTGCCATCTCCTGCCCGGGGCACGGTGGGGGACTGCAGCGAGACCTCCGCACCCCAAATTCGGGTTCTCGAGCCGGCACAAGGCGAAAGAAGTGAATCCCTCACCCAAAGTGGCTCTGGGTCACCCGTGGGCGCAGAGAAAAGCAGAGAAAAGTGGGGTGGACGCGCTGGGCCGTCCCCAAAGTTTCTTAGCTCGGCTGCTGGAATGCCGCGGGACGGGAGGAAAGCGAAAAGGGAAAAGGGAAAAGGGAAAAGGGAAGAGGGAAAAGGGAAAAGGGAAAAGGGAAGAGGGAAAAGGGAAGAGGGAAAAGGGAAAAGGGAAAAGGGAAGAGGGAAAAGGGAAGAGGGAAAAGGGAAAAGGGAAACGGGAAAAGGGAAAAGGGAAGAGGGAAAAGGGAAAAGGGAAGAGGGAAAAGGGAAAAGGGAAAAGGGAAAAGGGAAAAGGGAAAAGGGAAGAGGGAAAAGGGAAAAGGGAAAAGGGAAAAGGGAAAAGGGAAAAGGGAAAAGGGAAAAGGGAAGAGGGAAAAGGGAAGAGGGAAAAGGGAAAAGGGAAAAGGGAAGGAAGCTCCCCCTGCCCCCGGGGCTCTGGGAGAAACTCCCACCCGCACCCCCGGCCCCAGGCAGGAGCCGGACCCGCTCCCGGGCATCTTCCCCCGGCCCCGCAGCGCTGCGGCCCCCGGCCCATGATAAAGACGCTTTGAGAGTCCTCTCCCCCCTCCACCCCCGTCCCACCCCCTCATTTTTTTTTTTTTTTTTTTTTATTATGGTTTTCTCACCGAGTCCAATAAATCGCGCGGCTCGTCTGGCCTCAGACGTGTTCAGCAACCCAAGCCCCGCCGCTTTTGTTCCGCCAAGTCTCACATTGTTTGTCCGGCTGCGCGGGGCGCGGGAGCTGCGGGGGCTCCGCGGGGCGGGGGTGGGTGGGCGATGCTCGGCACCCCGGGGCTCGCTTCTTTCTCCGGGCTTACCCCGACTTCTTCACCCACCTGGGGGCGGCCGGGGATGCGCCCGGTGGGTCCTGCCTGCGCTGGCCTCCCTTCGCTGCCCTGCGTGCCAACCTGGCACGGCTCTGTGCCCTCTGTGCCCTGCCCTGCCCTGCCCGGCTCGCCGCGGCTCTCGGCGGTGTCCCCGAGCCCGGAGCCGCCGCCGGAGGAGCGGGGGCCGTGCCCGGCGTAAGGATATATAGGAGCGGCCGCGGAGCCTCCACGTAGCCCATACGTAAAGTGTACGTGGGAGAGTTAAAAAAAGTTGGGATGCAAATGCGGGGCCAGCTCCGTGGAGCGGGGGGGCTCCGGGGGGCTCCGGGGGGCTCCGGGGCTCGGGGGGAGCTGCGAGCCGCGTTATTTCCAAGCTTCCTTAACCTCTGGATCGCTCGAAATCGATCAGCAAAGCGCAGCAAGCCTGGCAATTAGGAGCTCATTACCATATATGCAAATATGGCAACCTCTCTCTCCGCAGCCACGGAGGCGCGGGGAGAGAGAACGGCGGCAGCTTTTGGGTGTGGGAACGGGGGTGAGGGGGAACGGGGATAACGGGGATAAAACGGGTTATTTGAGGGTATTTGGGTGGTTTGGAAGGAAAGCGGCTGAGCCGTGGGGGCGCGGAGTGCTCAGGGGCGCAGACACGCGCGGCCGCGGCCCGTGCGCCTGCTCCGAATTTATTCCTTAATTCCAATAAATTTTTTCTCTCTTTTTGCCATAAACGGCCGGAGAGCAGCACGGCCCGGCCCGAGGGGAGGGGAGGGAGGGGTTGGAGGGGTTCCCCCGCCCGCCCGGGACCCGCTCCCAAAACGGGAATATCCCGGGAATTCGGGGACACGCGGAGGGGCCGGGGCTGGGCTGGGACCGCTCCACCCCGGCCCCGGAGAGTGTTTTAAAGGGAAATTCTGACTCCTTGCATTTTATTCATCTCAAACCTCCCTGCAGAAAGCGGAGATCCCCGGCACACGCGCTCGATCCCGAGTTTTCTTGTTACCTGCGATTTTCTAAGCCTGGCAGGGCTTTTTTTCTTTTTTTTTTGTTGAATAAGCGCAGATTAGGGGCAAAGTCTCCCTGGCATTTCCTGAGGGTTGGTCACAGCTGGGGGGGCACGGCAGGAGCAGCGCACGGAGCGGATTTTTCCGCTGCTGCTCGCGGCGGGCAGCGGAGCGTTTTCGCCGGTGGCATCTCACAAAGTTTCCCCCTCGCTTTGGAAATCGACTTTATTTCCCTCCTTCCACGAACTGTCATCACGGCGTATTAAAAAATATCGCCCGTTCCACCTCGGGCTCCGATTTGCTTCCCTGCTCAGCATTATTTTATTTTTCCCCCTAATAAAGAACATTTTCTCCTCTTTTGCCCGCCGTTCAAACTCCGAAATAACGAGAATGAACTCAAAATCAGGAATCAATTCCCTATTTTGTGGTTTAGTTTAAGGGATAAAAATACTGATAAGTGAAGAAAACCTCCGCGAGGGATGGGGGCGGTGGGGGTGGCAGCAGCCCGGCCCGGGGCACGGCAGCGTCCCGAGCACCGGAGGCGGCTTGGAAACAGAATTACGGGTGTCTCTTCCCTTCTTTCTTTCTAGTTTTGAAGATTAATTTTATTTATTTATTTTTTTAATATTTGGGAAAAACCTTTTTCTGCAGTTTCCTTTCCAGCCCGGCAGCTCAGGCGCTTTTCCCAGCCCCGTCCGGGTCGCTGCTCTCTGCATTCCTCTACCCCATTCCTCTTTAATTCCCGACTCAGCGGGATTTTTAAATTATTTTTTTAATTATTACCATGAATATTCTATTTTAAAAATCCATTTGTTTACTGCGAATGGCCACAACCGATGGAGATGCTGCGCGGCCGCGGGCGGAGGAGCCGTGTGTTACCCCGTCCCGGGTTTTTATTATTATTATTATTATTATTATTATTATTATTATTATTATTATTATTATTATGGATTTCAGCCGACGTTCCTGCAAACCTCCCTTGAGTCTGGAAACGCGGACAACGCTGTGTGGAAAGGAAATTGAAAAATTTGAAATTCCCTTTCTGTTCCCACTCTCTTGGCAAATTCGCAGCCACCGACGCCCAGCGAGAGGAACCGTTTTCCTGCAGAAATCCTCACTACAGACCCGAGACCCTCTGGCATCTCTTCCCCATCCTCCAGCGAGGACGGCGGCTTCGCCCACCAGATTAAAAAAAAAAAAAATAAAATAAAAGTAAAAGTGGATTATTATTTTTCCCCCTCCTTATCCCAGGATTATTATTTTTCCCCTCCTTATCCCAAAGTAGCAATTAAAGAAAGTGGGAACCTTTGCCACACACGGTCATTTTTTGGGGTCTCAAAGCACCTCTTTATTTTTTCTGATAGTGAACTTTAAAGAGGAGGGGTTGGAGCAAAGCGGTAGAGAAATTTATCCCTTTTTTTTCGGAATTCTCTTTGCAATGCTGGCTCCTCCAGTGGAAGGCGGGCAGCCTCCAGCTCAGGAGCTTTGTGCCCATCTCATTTCACGTTGATTTTTCCAGTGCCAACCGCTGCCACGGGACACGAAAAGGAGCGGTGGTGACACAAAACCGCGTTTTAAACTTATTTTTTGAAGAGAGTTTTTGCTGGAAGGCAAATCCCGGGCTGCGACGGCGGGGGCGGTCACTGTCTGATGATCCAGGAGGATTTTCCCCTCGGAAAATCGCGATTTTTGGGGTCCCGGGGGAGGGAGGCACCCCTCGCAGCGGAGGAGCCGCCCCCCTTGCCCCGCACGGAGCCGCACGCATTAAAAATTTAAAAAATCCTCCAGAAAACCCAAACAAAGCGGCGATTCCCCTCCAGAAGGGTCGGGTTTGCAGCGTGATGGGGAGAGGGGAGGGATGCCCCCCACCCGGTTTATCTTTGCGGGCACAGCTCTGTGCCCACCCCAAACCTCTGCCCCAACCCAAAATGTGCCAAGATGAGCCTCGGGCACATCAGAGCGGGAGTGGGGGCGCAAATTCAGCAGCAGCACCCCCAAAAACGATCAGAAAGCTGCGCCTGAAGCTGGCCGTGCCCTACCCAGGTGTGCCCTCCTACCTGCGGGCACCCCCGGGTGTCCCAGCGTGGCACACAGGAGGGAAAGGAGCTCGGTGGGGGTTTTTTTGCACTCAGGCACCATCTCCATCCCCCCCTCTGCATCAGGGCAGCCCGCAGGGAGATGCTCTCCGTGCCCCTGTGCAAAATGCCCTCTGAAAATGCCCTCTGAAAATGCCCTTCCCAACGTGGGTAGGAGCAGAGGGTGCCCCCTGTCCCCACGGGGGGTGCTGGGCACTGGGGAGCACCCCCCGAAGGTGTGGGGTGCAGGGCCCCAGAGGGGAGCAGCCTGCAGCTTCCCCGCTGGGGATTTTAAAGGAAATTCCCTTTTTTTTTTGCCTGCCAGCTCGGAGGATGAACAAGCTCTGTAAGATGTGCCACGTTTGGGTCAAAGAGGATTTTTGGCTTTTGAAGAATTTGCACTGAGGTGTCCCCACGGACGGGTGGCTTTAGAGAAGCTGTGGGTTGTTTTCTGTAAGCAATCACCCCACGACAGGCCCTAAATGTGGGTGTGGCTGCTGGCCTGGAAATTCCAAATACAGGATTTGGTTTGGGATCCTCCCAGCAGCCCCAGTCACCCCAAAATCTGGGGTGCAGCTCCCTGAGTGGCTGGTAGGTTTGGGGCAAGGGGAAGGGCTCTGGAGCTGGGTGCTCCATAAATAATTGTCTTTGTCTTGGTGCCAAGCTCCACTTTTCCTGCCTTCGCTGGGCACTTCTGCTGCTGCCTGGGCCCCACGGTGCCACCGCCTCAGCGCCCTCCAGACAAAGAAAATGCCAACAAAAGCTGCATTTTGAAGCAAGTGGGTGCACGCTGAAGGACAGTGGCAGAGAAGCTCCAAAGCCATCCCCAGGAGGTGCCAGCCCTGTCCTGGCAACTCCTGCCCATCCTCAGCCTCAGTCCTGGGCTCCTGCAGCAGCCAGGCCGGGCACCCACAGCCTCTGTCCCGCCCATGGGAGAGCTTTGCTCCATCTTTGACCCCACAGCCACACAAATTCTTCTTGCCTCAGGGCTGGAAACCTCGTGGCTTCCTCCTGGCTCTGCCCAGCGAGTGCTTCCTACCTCAGGTGGAGGGTTTAGTACCTCAGGATATTTTAATGGTTCACCCCATTCACTTCAAAGGCAGCCAGGTAACCCAGCAGCTTCAGGGGGAAAGGGGCTGAAGCCTGAAAACAAGCAATTTCACTTATATCAGATCATTTTGGCCTCAGATGTGATGTTATCCTCACCTCCAAATCCACGTGAAAAAAAACCCCAAACCAGGAAAAAACACCACGAACCCCAAACCTAAAGCGAATACCAAAATTCCTTCTTTCTGTACAGGCAGGGAGCTGTGTTTTGTGTTGGTAAAATGGGGTGAAGTGTCTCCCCAGCACCTACCCCGGCTCAGCTGCCTGGCGTCCTCCTTCCAGCAGGTGCCTTTTCTTCTGCCTCAAAGGGCTTCGATCTGGACAGCTCTTTTGGAGAACGGCTGTTGTAAGGGATGCCTGGCACGAACACGGCCTGATTACAGCCCAGCTCGTTAAAAAAATGTTCCCTAGGTATTGAAGGGGATAACAAGGATATTTAAACATTCCCAGCGTGCACCTTTAAGCGGCAGAAAATAAGGGAAATTGCTATCGTTTAATTCAGTATTGCTCCTTTTGAACTCCCACTGGCTCTGCCTGCAATTGTTCCCTTCGCCGGGGCTGGGAGCGAGTCGGGATTGCAGCAGCATCGGGGCTGCAGGTCCAGAGGGCTGCGAGGGCTGAGCACAGCAGGACCAGCTTCCCCACATGGCAAAAGGCTGATGGAGCTGCTTCCCATTTGGGTTTTGAAAGATTTCCCTCAATAGCCCAGAGCAGGCTCTGGGTTTGAGGCCCAGAGCCCCAGTTTGTAATTACTCTCATATTTTGTGTGTGCCAGGGAGAGGGAGGAGCAGCATTTCTTTTTTGTCTGTATCTCTGAGGAAGCTTTTTCCAAAGAGAGAGCAAAAAAAAAAAAAAAAAAAATCCACAGCTGGTGTTGGTGGATGAGACACTCAGCCGTGTTCTGGTAGAGGGAAAAAAGGCAAAGTCTAATTTTAGATGTTCTGAAATGCTTACAACATGCATCCCTCCAACGGCCTGGCATGGGCACCAGTGGTTATTTCCACGCCAGAAGGAGAGAACGGGGACTGGGACCTGCTGGGCCTCGCCCCAGGTGACCCCCAGGGATCTCCCCCTTCTGCCCTGGGCAGTGCCACCACCAATGTTTACAGAGAGCAGCTGCTGGGCAGGAGAAGAGACAGAGCTCCTCTCACTCAGGGCAATTTCCCCACATTTTGGCTTGGCCAGAACCCCTTTGGGAATGTCTCCATCCCCCCAAAAAGCAGCTTTGGGGGCCCCACTGCTGAAAACCCCACTGATGCTCTGACAGGCCGTTGTGTGACAAGCAGCTCATTGTTCCTAAGCTCTTCTTCCCTCCAGCCCCGTGTCCCCCTCCCCGATTTTCCTCCAACCTCGGGCATTTTGGACCCGAACATTCCTCATTTTCCCATTTCACCCCACAAGAGCTGAGCTGAAGCACCACATGAATAGGGGAGAAGCTTTAGGGAGAGCAAAGCCCCCCCGTTCCCACCCCAAAATGTGCCAGAGAGGCGGCACAAAGCGGCTCAAAGGGGGTGCAGCCCCCTGCCCGAGCCCAGCCTTAGGGGAGGGTGAGGGTCTCAGCTTACCCGGCCTCTCATAAAAGTCTCCTCCATTCTAGCAAATAACCTTTATGTCCAGGGACTCGCAAAGTTTGCGTTCTCCCTCCAGGGTTAGGCACAGCAGGAGCGGCAGAGAAAGCGGCCGCTTGTAGGAGGTTCCTCTGCATAATAACCTCAGAGGAGTTTAGGTCTAAAGACTAAAAGGCTCTATTTACTTTCACTGACAAGGAACAATCTAAGCAGATGTCCTTTGATGGGATTAGTTATTAATCCTTGAATCATGGGTAAATGGGAAAATGATCCATTATTTTCTGCAAAATCCTTCACTACTTTAGATTTCAAGGATGGGGTGGAGGATTGTTAGCAGCAAGGTCCCGACCTGTCTGTTTTGGACATTTTAAAATGTATTTTTACAGTTTGTGCCATGGAGCGTGACTCTGAAATAATTTTTTTTTTTTTTTTAAAGAAAAAAACCTCAAGAAAAAGGGGTTTGATTCCACTGACAGCCGAGAGCTGCTGGACACACAGCAGTGATGGGTCTGGGCATTCCTTGGCTAAATACTGTGAGGTTTATAAAAATAATAATAATAATTTTACAATATATAAATTAATGATGATGATGATGATGATGATGATGATGATAATGATTATTATGATGATGCCACTTCCAAAAGCTCTTTCTACAAACAGCTTTGGTGACTCTGCCTGAATGTTTAGAGCCTCCCAAGACCTCTGTCCTGTTCACAGCAGCTCAGGTTTGGTTCAGTATCTGATGGGCATTCCATAGATTACTAATAATAGCAATAATTAAAAAAATATAAATTAATAATAATGATTATGATGATGGTAATAATGATTATTATGATGATGCCACTTCCAAAAGCTCTTTCTCCAAACAGCTTTAGTGACTCTGCCTGAATGTTTAGACCCTCCCAACACCTCTGTCCTGTCCACAGCAGCTCAGGTTTGGTTCAGGATCTGCTGGGCATTCCATAAATTACTAATAATAGTAATAATTTAAAAATATATAAATTAATAATAATGATGATGATTATAATAATAATGGTTATTATGATGATGCCACTTCCAAAATCTCTTTCTGCAAACAGCTTTGGTGACTCTGCCTGAATTTTTAGACCCTCCCAAGACCTCTGTCCTGTCCAGAGCAGCTCAGGTGTGGTTCAGGATCTGCTGAGCATTCCCAAAATAACCCAGGCAGGTGGGTGCAGTGATTGGGCTGGGCAGGGATGGGGAGAACTGGTGGGACTGGGTTGGCTCAGGGGACTCATTTCCCGAAATCACTTCTTGCTGTGAGGGGAGGTGGAGCCACACGAGTGTCACCCCAATTCTGGGAGGAGAAGGGCTGGAGGATGCAGCAGTGGAGCTCCCGGCCCTGGGGCACCCCACGGGCTGGGCAGAGGGAAAGCAGAGCTGGGGGTGCCCATCCCGTGCCTCTGTGGCCCCAAACAGGGTAAAATCATCACTCCTGAGACAGACCCACACCCCAGCTCTGCCTCCCAGCCTCCCGTGCAGGGAAAGCAGGAATAGACTCCCAATGAATAATTTACTCTGCTTTCTTTTGATTTGCCTTCTGATTGTGCACAGCAGTGCGGGCTCGGAGGGGGAAACATCTTCTGATTAAAGATTTATACCGGGCCTATAATTTTGTTGTTGTTGCTTAAATCTACTTCAAAGTGTGAGCAGGGTGGGTGTAAAATAAACACTCTGCAGCAGCTTTTGGAGCGTCTCGGGGTGCGAGTGCACACACCAGTGCAAAGCCTGGTGGAAACTTGGTGCTCTGCAAAGGTGCTCTGCTCCCAGACACCCTCCTCACCCCAAATACAGTGAAAAAGGGATTGAAATGGCCTCTGTTCCCTCAAACTACTCACTCCAGGCTCCTTCTCCTGAGCTGAGACCACATCTCAAAAATTATAAAATATAAATTGGGCTTTATTCTTTTATTACTCTTTCACTACTCTTTTTCTATTCTTTTACTGTTCTTTGACCACACAGACATCAGTTTGTGGCTGCAGGGAGTGATGAGACCTGAAGCTGGGAGAGGCTCTAACCAAAGGTCACCCCATTCACAGAGAGGAGCCAAACTTCAGCTTCCACCTTCCTCTGCTACTGAAACTTGGAAATACAGGCGAGAAAAGCTCCAGCTCCTTCCCAGCTGCCAGCTGAGTGAGCAGGGTGAAGAATTTTCTCTTTTTTGCCTCCCTTTTCCCCTGGCTGCCACATCCCTGGCGAGCAGAGCCACTTCCCAGCGCACCTCTGGCACAAAGGGAGCGTGAGACAAGCAGAACCAGCCACCATTCCCAAAAGTGCCTTTTGATAAACCCTCAGGGTTGCCATTCCCAGCTCCAGCTGGCCAGGGAAGAGCCAGAGCTTTGTCCAAGGGGCCTGGCTCCCGCTGCTCCCAGCCTGCTCCTTGGAAAAAGCAGATTGCCTCAAATGGCATTTTCAGCAAAAATGTTTTGTGGAGTATTTTGGGGCTGGCTGGCAGAATTCAGCCAGCAGAACACATTGATACAAAGCCCTGCAAGGAGCCCCTCAGAGCTGGCTGGCTTTGATCCCACTTTTCAAACCATCTTTTCCCAGGACTGGGAAAGCGACCTCAGGGAGTGGTGGTTTCTCCAAAAAGGGAAGGCAGGTGAGATGCAGGGCCTTGCATCACTCACCCAGGCTGGAAATCAGGCTGCTGTCGTTGTCTCTGTCAGCAAATGGTCAGGGGATGGTTTGGGTTGTGAGGGAACATAAATCTCACCTTGTCCCACCCCTGCCATGGGCAGGGCACCTTCCACTATCCCAGGTTGATCCACGCCCTGTCCAACCTGGCCTTGGACATTTCCAGGGATGGGGCAGCCACATCTTCTCTGGGCAGCCTCTGCCAGGGCCTCACTGCCCTCACAGTCAAGAATTCCTTCCCAATATCCCATCTAACCCTGCCCTCTGGCAGTGGGAAACCTTTCCCCCTTTTCCTGTCCCTCCTGTCCCCCTTGTCCAAAGTCCAGAGCCTTTTAGGCAGTGGAAGGGGCTCTAAGGTATTTCTGGAGAGAGAGATGACCACCCCCAGCCTGTCTCCAGAGCAGAGGGGCTCCAGAGTCCCCAAATCATCCCCTGGACCCACTCCAGCAGTTCCTCATCCTCCCTGTGCTGGGGACCCCGAGCTGGGGCAGCTCTGCAGGGGCAGAATCCCCCCTCAGCTCTGCCCCCACCGTGGCTGTGCCCGGCCCAGCTCTGCCTTTCCGGGCTGCCAGTGCCCATCCAGAGCAGCTCCGTGGCCTTCCTCATCCCCAAGGAATTCCCTCTCGACTGAGGAACTCCCCAGCCACGCAGCACCTGAGACAAAAACCACAGAAACACCCCAGGGGGACCTGAACCGGCCCACGCTGCAGCCTGGCACGGCCTGTGGGAACTCAGAGATGCCCTGGGACCCTGGCAGGGGTCAGGAACCCCCCTGGACAGAGCCCCCAGAGACACTGTCTGTGATCTCTGTCCATGGAAAAGAGTTTTCAATCTTACAGGATCACTTACAAGCTCCGAGTGTTTGATATAAGCAATAATTAAGTGTGGCACTGGTGCTAAAATAGAATTTTAGGATTCTAGATAAGGGGTTCAAAGGGAACAAGATGGAGGAAATTGGGTGTGCCTTGTCCTTTTTCTCCTTCTTCATGCCCTCCATGTTTCACTGTGGTGTTGGCATTTTTCTGTTAGTTCAGGCTGGGGACACACTGTCCAACGTAGGTGACAGATATTGGCACATTATTGTAAATCCAGCACAGGTAGTTTGTGGTGTATAATGTTTGTACCATCCCACTGAGGGCAGAGCCCCACACGCTGCCCTGCAGGACAGAGCTGCGGCAGGGCAGCAGAACAGTTATAGATAAGTTTATTCTTATACATATAAGAATATATACACAAATATTCTTATATGTATGATAATAAACAACCTTGAAAACCAGCACAGACGATTTACGACTTCTTCTTTGGCCACGGGGCTCAGAGACTTTTCCACAATCTCGGATTCGTTTAAACGCCTCAGATTCCGTCATGCCCCAAAGTCTCGCACCCCTCGAACCCCATTTCAGCCCCTCGGCCGCGGTGATTGACAGCTGTCAATCATCGCCGCGGCGCTCTGACGCCACCTGGCGGCCGCTGCGCCGAAATGCGCCCCCCCCTTCCCCAGTGCCCCCGAACCCGAACCCGAACCTGAACCCGAACCTGAACCCGAACCTGAACCCGAACCCGAACCCGAACCTGAACCCGAACCTGAACCTGAACCCGAACCTGGCCCGGGCACCGGGACAAACTCGGCACCGGGACAGGACAAACCCGGCCGGGGCAGGATAAACCCGGCACCGGGACAAACCCGGCTTTGGGGGCACCGGGACAAACCCGGCACCGGGACAAACCCGGCTTTGGGGACACCGGGACAAACTCAGCACCGGGATAAACCCGGCTTTGGGGACACCGGGACAAACCCGGCACAGGGACAAACCCGGGTTTGGGGGCACCGGGACAAACCCGGCACCGGGACAAACCCGGTACCGGGACAAACCCGGACCCGGCACCGGGACAAACCCGGCACCGGGATAAACCCGGCACTGAGACAGGACAAACTCGGCTTTGGGGACACCGGGACAAACCCGGCTTTGGGGGCACCGGGACAAACCCGGCACCGGGATAAACCCGGCTTTGGGGGCACCGGGACAAACCCGGCCCCGGCACTGGGACAAACCCTGATCCTGTTCCCTTTTCCCTGGAGCAGAGCCCAGCCCTCACCTGGCTGTCCCCTCCTGGCAGGAGCTGTGCAAAGCCACAGGTCCCCCCTGAGACCCCTTTGCCCCAGGCTGAGCACCCCAGATCTTCCAGGCACTCCTGGTGCCCCAGGCTGAGCACCCCACTCTTCCAGGCACTCCTGGTGCTCCAGGCTGAGCACCCCAGCTCTTCCAGGCACTCCTGGTGCTCCAGGCTGAGCACCCCACTCTTCCAGGCACTCCTGGTGCTCCAGCCCCTTCCCCAGCTCTGTTCCCTCCTCTGGACACTCTCCAGCCCCTCGGTGTCTTTTTTCTCATGAGGGCCCCAAAACTGAACCAGGACTTGGGGTGAGGGTCCCAGGAGGTCCCCGCTGCAGGTCCCCACCTCGCAGCATTCCCAGGGAGATCCTGGATCCAGAGGTGCCCAGCCAGGCTGTGCCACGGAACCCCACCCCAAAGCCACGTCCTCAGAGCACTTTCGCCATCCCCACTGGGACCCCACAGAAACCCACCCCCGGCTGGAGGGAGACCCCGGCCTAAAGCTCAGCCCCCGTGGATCTCACGGGGCACCAGGGGATGGTCCAACCCCTCCAGGAGGAGCTTTGGATGGGAACAGCAGTGTCTGACTTGCAGGGAGGCTGCACAGGCCTGTGGGAGCCTCAGCATGGGCTGTTTTGGGGTGTCTTGGGGTGTCCGTGCCAGCACGAGGGGCTGAAACCCAAAACTGGGTGGTGGGAATCACCATCTCCTCCAGGAGCACCCCAGGGGAGCCAAGAGCATCCCAGGAGAGCCAAGAGCATCAAAGGTCATCCAAGAGCATCTCAGGAGAGCCAAGGGCATCAAAGGTCATCCAAGAGCATCAAAGGTGATCCAAGAACATCCCAGGGGAGCCAAGAGCATCTCAGGGGATCCAAGAGCATCAAAGGTGATCCAAGAGCATCAAAGGTCATCCAAGAACATCCCAGGGGAGCCAAGAACATCCCAGGGGAGCCAAGAGTAGCCCAGGGGAGTCAAGAGCATCAAAGGTGATCCAAGAGCATCTCAGGGGAGTCAAGAACATCCCAGGGGAGCCAAGAGCATCAAAGGTGATCCAAAAACATCCCAGGGGAGTTAAGAACATCCCAGAGGATCCAAGAGCATCCCAGGGGAGCCACCACTCTGCCTTGGGTGTCTTGGTCATTCCCAGACACGGGACAGGGATGGAGAGGAAATTCCTGAGCAGGACAGCGGGCTCACCCACCCCTGCTCCTGCAGCTGCTCCAGGTGTGTCCCACTGCCCTGATGTCCCACAGGTGACAGCCCCACCCCAGCAGGAGCTGGAGCCCAGAGTGGCACCCTGCTGCACCCTGCCATGCAGAGAGGAGGAAAGAAAGAGCCAGAGGCGTGGAAAATTATCAGAAACGTGTATTTTTTTTTTTCTTTTTAATAGTAAACCTCTTTACAACAAATATAGTGAAAGAGTTTCCAAACAAAACTCATAAGAATTTCTCATGGTAATTATTATTATTATCATTTTTTTTATATATTTTTTTTTGTCTTATTGTGGAATATACAATAACGCATCACCATACAGCACAAAAAAAGGAATATTGAAAAAACGAAATAGACGTCTCAACCACGTGCTGCAGTCCCTGGGAAGGAGCCACTGATTGTCAAGGGAGCGAAGTAGGGAGGGAACGGGGACAGGGAGTGGGGGTGACATCCCCAGGGCGCGGGAGGTTCTCGGTCAGGCCAGAGCCCGAGGGTTGCAAACACTTCAGAGAAAGATGGAATTAGGCAAAAATCCCGGTTAAAATATTACAAACTCCACATAAAGCCTCCCTCCCCTCGCACTGCTGCTGCTGGGCACTGAGAGCTGGGATGGGAGGGAGCCCTGGTCCCTGTGCTCCGGCTGGGGACGGGGGCAGCTGCCCCACAACTGCCCCAAAACTGCCCCAAAACTGCCCCACAGCTGCCCCACAGCTGCCCCACGGCTGCCCCACGGCTGCCCCGAGCTGCCAGCCCTGGCCACCAAATCCCTTGACTCGCACACACACACACACCCACACACACGGGTGGAGGAGCATCAGGAAAAAAAAAAAAGAGGTTAAAAATATATATATATATATATATATATATTATAGATACAGTTTCTCTTTTTTTTTGTTGTTTTTCCCTTTTAAATTGCTTCTCAAAACAATAAATAAAACTCCTCGGGGGAAGTGCACGTCCTGGTTTGTTTCTACCTGTGCAGCAGCCTGGGGGGAGGATGCAGAGCTGCCTGTGGGGCTGAGCGGGGACATCCAAGGAACCATCACACAGAGAAGCTGAGGGGAAAGGGGCATTTATGATTTTTTTTTTTTTTCCTTTTAGTGCATCATTTCAAGGGTTTATTCTATTTTACAAAAGTTTTTGCAGACACCCCAGGTTTGCTAACACCTACCTGCATAACTGAGCTACGGGGAGCAAAGGGGATGGGGGAGAATGGAGGAGGAGGGAGCAGCAGCTGGGCCACCACGATCCCCACTTCTCCAGCATCAGATTTGCCTGCAAATGCTTGGAAAGAGCCGTGGGGAGGAGGGGAGTCATGGCCCAAGGTGGGGCTGCTTCACCTCCCAGCCTCGGAGATGCCAGGAGCCCATGGGGACATCCCAGCATGGTCCCAGGAGAGGGTTTGGGGATGCTCCTGCGGCTCTGTGGTGGGTTCCTGCCTGGAGAAGGAGGAGCTGGGCCAGCACCAGCATGAAAATCTCACTCTGAACACCCATTTGAAGTGAAGAAAATCCCTCTCTGCATCTCACCCTCATGGCCTGGGGTGGGTGCGGGGGGCTGGGGGAGACACAGCCGCCCATCCCCACCCAGGGACAGTCGGGCTGGGGGTATTGTCAACCCCTCATTCCCCAAAAACCTTCCCAGCCTGAGGGATATTGGCAATCCCTCCTTACCCAAAAACCTTCCCATCCTGAGGGATATTGTCAATCCCTCATTCCCCAAAAACCTTCCCATCCTGAGGGATATTGTCAACCCTTAATTTCCCAAAAACCTTCCCAGCCTAGGGATATTGTCAACCCCTCATTTCCCAAAAACCTTCCCAGCCTGAGGGATATTGTCAATCCCTCATTTCCCAAAAACTTCCCAGCCTAGGGATATTGTCAACCCCTCATTTCCCAAAAACCTTCCCATCCTGAGGGATATTGTCAATCCCTCATTCCCCAAAAACCTTCCCATCCTGAGGGATATTGTCAACCCTTAATTTCCCAAAAACCTTCCCAGCCTAGGGATATTGTCAACCCCTCATTTCCCAAAAACCTTCCCAGCCTGAGGGATATTGTCAATCCCTCATTTCCCAAAAACTTCCCAGCCTAGGGATATTGTCAACCCCTCATTTCCCAAAAACCTTCCCAGCCTGAGGGATATTGTCAATCCCTCATTCCCCAAAAACCTTCCCATCCTGAAGGATATTGTCAGCCCCTCATTTCCCAAAAACCTTCCCAGCCTGAAGGATATTGTCAATCCATCATTTCCCCAAAACCTTCCCATCCTAAAAGATATTGTCAGCCTCTCATTTCCCAAAAACCTTCCCAGCCTGATGGATATTGTCAACCCCTCATTTCCCCAAAAACCTTCCCAGCCTGAAGGATATTGTCAGTCCCTCCTTTCCCAAAAACCTTCCCATCCTGAGGGATATTCTCAATCCCTTATTTCCCCTTCCCAGCCTGAAGGATATTGTCAATCCCTCATTTCCCCAAAACCTTCCCATCCTGAGGGATATTGTCAACCCCTCATTCCCCAAAAACATTCCCAGCCTGAGGGATATTGTCAATCCCTCATTTCCCAAACACCTTCCCAGCCTAGGGATATTTTCAGTCCCTCATTTCCCCAAAAACCTTCCCAGCCTAAGGATATTGTCAATCCCTCATTTCCCCAAAAACCTTCCCAGCCTAAGGATATTGTCAATCCCTCATTTCCCCAAAAACCTTCCCAGCCTGAAGGATATTTTCAATCCCTCATTTCCCAAAAATTTCCCATCCTGAGGGATATTCTCAATCCCCCATTTCCCCTTCCCAGCCTGTTCAGAGATGATTTTGGCGCAGCCTGAGCCACACCACCCTCTTCTGGCTTAAGTAAAGCACATCCCGAGCAGCATCGCTCCGGAGAACGGAGCTCGGGAGGAAGAAACTGGGATGTCACTGGGATGTTCCCCTGGCTGGGGAGGAGAGGGGAGCTGCTACAGAGCCAAGGAGCTGCTCCTGTCCAGGATCTGGGTCTGGGACGTGGAAATTTGGGCAGCCTGGGGAGGGGGTGCACGGGAAGAGCCAAGAGGGTTAAACAAGAAATCGCTGTACAACTCGGCCATGTCCAAAGTCAGTATTATTACAATATACTCTGACAAAAATATAATCTCATTTCATATCAATACAACGGGAAAAAAAAAAAAAAAAAAAGAACAAACCCCAAAACCAGTTTTCTGTACTGTTACCATTGCTAACAGATTGAAACTCGCTATTTACAGTTACAGTAGCCAGGTAAAATACTACAGGTGAGAGACCAGAGAGAGGAGGGGCAGAGGGACAGAAGGGAGAGAAAATCGCCAGGAAAAAGGGAAAAATAAAGGGGAAAGGCCCTCTTACATCCCGAGCGTGGCTTCCTGCATTGGACACGGCAGGGTGATGGATGGAGGTAGTGAAAACATAATACTTGGTTTATGGGTCTGGTTGGGTTTTTTTGTGGAAAGGAAAAGAGAAAATAAAACAAAAGAGAAAAGTGAAGTGAGAGGGGAAGGTGGAATAAAAGGATGAACACGGGAAAGGGAAACCAGAGCAAACCTTCAGCTGAAGCCCACTGTTAGGCACTCTCCCACAGCGAGGTGGATGGGGATGAATTTTCACCACTTTGGGTGGTGAAAATGCCCCGAACATCCCCAAATTGTGCCCCCAGCTGGAGAGAAGGGAGGCAGGATGGCAGAGCCAAGGAGAGCTGGGAAGATGCTCCTTCCCCACCTGATGGATGCTCTCCCTAGGAGGGCAGAGGGGCAAGTGCCCCTTACCCCAGCCAAGCTCTGGGCTGGCACAGCAGCTCACAGCCTGTCCCCAGAACTGGTGACAAACATCCCAATTCGCACCCAAAGTGATGGGGAATCCCCCAGCCAAGCAACACAAGGGGAGAAAAAAGTGTAGGAGGTGAAATACTCAAGGAAAATGTGGGTTTTTGTCAATTTACTTTTTCCCTGGTTTGCTGAAATTATTCTGGAGAGGAAGAGGGAAGTGAAAAAGGAGGAAGGAAAAGGAAACGTGTTCTTTCTCTTTGCCCCGAAGGAAAAGGAAACGTGTTCTTTCTCTTTGCCCCGCTTTCCCCAGGCCCACACGTGGCCCATTGCCACCAGCTCTGGATTGAACACTTCCACTGCCCTCAAACACAGCCCAGCACCAAACCCCTTCCCCAAGGGACCCCCAGACCCCCCTGCCACAGCCGTGACCCCCGTGGGGCTGGGGTGCCCCTCACACCCCACGGGGCACTGCCAGCCTGCACAGCCCCTGGTGCAGACATCCTGCACAGCCGGGCGCTGCCACCCAAAGCCACCTCGGGAGGGTCACCCTGTGCCCACGCTGAGCACGGCCCCACTGACCGCTCAGTGCCAGCTGACCACTCAGTGCCAGCTGTCCATCTGACCCCCACTGACCGCTCAATCCCAGCTGACCACTCAGTGCCAGCTGACCACCCGATCCCAGCTGACCGCTCAGTGCCAGCTGACCGCCCGATCCCAGCTGACCACTCAGTGCCAGATGACCATCCAATCCCAGCTGACCACCCGGTCCCCACTGACCACTCAATGCCAGCTGACCACTCAGTGCCAGCTGACCGCCCGATCCCAGCTGACCACTCAATGCCAGCTGACCACTCAATGCCAGCTGACCATCTGACCCCCACTGACTGCTCAATGCCAGCTGACCACTCAACCCCAGCTGACCGCTCAATGCCAGCTGACCACCCGATCTCCGCTGACCACTCAATCCCAGCTGACCACTCAATGCCAGCTGACCACCTGATCCCAGCTGACCACTCAATGCCAGCTGACCACCTGATCCCAGCTGACCACTCAATGCCAGCTGACCATCTCACCCCCACTGACCGCTCAGTGCCATCTGACCACTCAATCCCAGCTGACCACTCAATCCCAGCTGACCAGTCCATCCCAGCTGACCACCCGTTCCCAGCTGACCACTCAATCCTAGCTGGCCACTCAATGCCAGCTGACCGCTCAATGCCAGCTGACCACTCAATGCCAGCTGACCACTCAATGCCAGCTGCCCACTCAATGCCAGCTGACCAGTCCATCCCAGCTGACCACCCGATCCCCGCTGACCGCTCAACCCCAGCTGACCACCTGCACAGCCCCCAGAGCGGGCAGGACGTGCCCACTGATCCATCACCATCCTCACTGCACCCAGGCAGTATTTCAGTGCCCTTCCCAGCATTTTAGGCTCTATCCATCATATTTAGGGTCCTGCTCCATCCCCAGACCTCCTCCAGGGCTGGGCAGCGACTTCCCACCCCATCCCTGCTCCTGCAGCTGAGCCACACCTTGTGGTCGTCTCCTTCCTCCCCTCCTTCCTCCTCCTCTGTGCCCCGAACCTGCCCCCGCAGCGCTGCCCCTGGCACAGCCCCCCAAAACCCAGCCCTGCCAAGCCCTGGGAAAGTCCAGCCTTCCCGGGCGGGGGTCAGAGCCCCCAGGCGTGCCAGCCCCCCGGCTCTGCCCCCTGGCACCCCCTGGCACCCCCTGGCACCCCGCGGGGAGGGGGCACGCCCTGCCCCCAGCCCGGCTTACCTGTGCTCAGGTGCGGGATCCGCAGAGGGTTCGGAAGGTAAAGATCAGAAACAGACTTTGGTAAGTAACCACACGTTTAGAAAGGAATATATCAGTTTGGAAACATCTCAGTGCATACTTCTTATATGAAAATATACACAAATGTATTTCATTCTCCAAAAAAGGAACAATTAAAAACAAAAGCAAACTAGCCCAAACACAATATATTAGCTGTTTTTTTGTTGGTTTTTTCTTTTTTTCTTGTTGTTGTCATCCTTTAAAATCTTTAACGCTACACTTTGTTCAGGTTACACTTTTTTTGTCTTTTTTTTTTTTTTTTGTAAATGTTTTTTTTCTTCATGCATTTTACACCTTTATAGCCTTTGAGAATAAATAAGCTCCATTTTGCTTCCACATCTCTAAAAACTGCAGCATTTTAACTATTGTCATTTAAATCGTGCAATTTTTTTTTTGCAACACCCCTTTTTAAAAAATGGAAAATATATATATATTTTAAAACTAAACCCTATACAACGCAAAAAATTCCAAATTAAAAAAAAAAAAAATTATACACAATTGTAACTGTCAACAGTACAGATGAGCACGAGAAATAAAATTAGATCAGAAACATATTTATAGAAGCACAAAGGAGGGTGTTGGTTTCTTAGATTGTCATTCTTCTCGTTGTCTTTTGAAAATTAGGAGGCGTTTACCAGATACTACAGTCTGGGGTGGGGGGGGATAAAGGATAATGATCCGGACAAAAAAAAAAAAAAATAGAATATAATAATAAAATAACCCCAAGCCCCCAAGAAAATGAAGAGCCCCACAAGCAGCCCCCAAAGGTGAAGCCAGGCCGTGTGTGAGGTGAGGCCACCCCACCTCCCCACGAGCCGTACTTGCCCGTGGCACCCAGGGGTGCTGGAGTCCCGCAGCTGCAGATCCGCCCCGGGCAGATCTGAGTAACCCAGCCTCTGTCTCCTGCCTCCTGCGTCTTCCAGGCTCTCAGCTTCCAGGCAGAAGTGTGAACTCGGGAGTCAGGGCGTGAAGTTCATGAGCAAAAATGGGGTTTTTTTTGGTTTTTTTGGGTTTTTTTCCCCCTTGACGGTTGCGTCGAGTGCCGGGGGGTCTCCGCTGCCGCTCCCGGCCGAGGTCTGTGCTGGGCCCTCCTGCCACGCTGCTCCCGGTTCGTTGGGTTGAGTTTATTGTTTTGTGAAGGAAAAACAAAACCAAAAACAAAAATACAAAAAAAACGAGAGCGATGAGACGTCATTATCCCGCCTAATTTCCAAAGCAAGGCCGTGCAAAGAGCTCAGGTGCGCGTCCGGTACATCCGGCGTGGCCGGGGCGGGGCGGCGGTGCAGGTGAGGAAGACCACGGTCCTCAGCATCTCTCCTGCTTCCCCAAGGGCTGCCAGGGATGGAGGGAGGGAGGAGATCCGCTTCTGCGCCGGTATTCCAGAGGGGAGACCCCGCTGCCCGCTGCCTTTGGCTCGGGGAGGGCACACGGGGGAACTGCACAAAACCTGCCAGGGCTCCTTTCCTCCTCTTGCCTAGCCAAGGCCTTCCCAGAGCACGGGAACAGGAGAGGGAATTCCAAAGTGATCGTTGGAAAAGAATAAAACGGTCATTTGGAAAAGCCTTCGCGGCAGAAATTTGGTCTTTGGAGGTGTGGAGGGGGGGATTTTGCCTGGCACGTCTCTCCGTGCAGGGATCTTGGTGAGGGTACCCACCCACCGCTCTGACCCCTCCATCAGGTCTCTAATTTTCACCCAACTTCTGAGGGATTTCCTCTCCTCCTCCAACCACTCCCTTCAGGCCGCCCTATTCATTTCGCAATAATCATCAGCTTTTTTTTTTGTCGCGTTTTTCCAATTAGAAACTTTGTGATAAATGCTTGGTTGCGAAAAATTTACCAAACCCCATAAATTTGCTTCTGGTTTGCCATCATCCTGGGACGTTTTTATGCCATTCCAAGGCTGAGCTGGCTGCTGACACCCGGCAGAGGGATCCAGGAGGGGGACAAACCCCACCCTGACCCAGCTCCCCTCCCTTTGCTCTGTCTCAGGGTCCAGCCAAACCCCAGGCAGCTCCCAGCTCCTCCACAGCCCCCCAAGGCTGGCCAGGCTCCAGCTGGCAAAGGTGGCATCCGGGCAGGTTTTGTGCCAGTTTGGGACTGCGAGCCCAGGGCTCAGTGGGGCTGGGGTGGCCCTGCACAGGGTGACAGGGCAGCAGGCTGGGAGGGGAACAGGGGACCAGCATGAGCACCTGCAGGGAGAAAGCCCATCCCTGACGGCTGTGCCAGCCAGGAATGGCCCCTTCTCCTCCAAACCCTCCAGCCACGAGCAGGATGATGCATTTTGGGATCAGGGTGCTGACACCCATCCCTGGGAAACTGCCAGAGCAAGTGGCAACATGAGGAAATTCCTTGTTTTTTCCGTTTTCCTTTCACTGAATCACTGCTCAAGGCTCAGGGAGATTTTCTGCACAGCTCACTGCTGCCTTTTGAGGCCTAGAAACCTTCAGGCAAAATCTCATTAGGATCATTACTTCAGTTGCATCTTTCAGTAAAAAAATCAACTCTTCCCGTTTTCCTGATTTAAAGCTTTGGCCCACGTGCAATGGGAACACATTTCCAAAATGCTTTTGTGGATGTTGTTTGCTAAAATCCACGACCTGCTCTCAAAGCCAGCACTAACATCCCCTCTCCACAAACTGCTGTGCCCAGGTGGAGGTGAAGCCTTCCTGGGAAACGGGAACTCCAACGTTCCAATGACCCTGCTCAGGAACAGAGGAGTTCCCTGCTCTGGTAGGAAGGATGCTGCCTGCATCCACTTGTCATGCAAACGGGATTAAGCTTTGAAAATCTGCCTCTTACTCCCCATGCAGCTTCCCAGGATCCAGGAGCCTCAAGCAGGCTGTGGATGTGGCTGCATCCTGCTCTGTATCAGATCTGGGCTCTCCGAGCTGCCCTCCGCCTTTAGGAAAACTGCTGGAGGAAAACCCCCCTGGAGGAAAACTTGTGCCTACCAAAGCCCTTCAAGCTTCCAGAGAGCTGCCTCATGTCTGAGCTGCCCCTCCCTGCACAGGGGCCCACGGGGATGGCCAGGAAGGTGCATTTTGGGGTGCTCTGAGCCCCGTCTGCCCCTGGAGCCCATCCCGCTGCCGGCTCTGCCTTAGGGCTGCGGCCCCACATCCCAGGAGGTCCTGCTGAGGGGCTGCTGGTTTTGGTGAGGAATATTTGGGGATATTCCCCTCCAGCCCCCCGTCCCCACAGCCCCGGCCGCTCCCGAGCAGCGCCGTATGTGCTGCATGCGTCGCCTGCTGCTGCGCTAGAACGAATGCCTACAAAATCCTAAAGCTATTTCTCAGGCAGTTTATGATAACTTCCCCCCCCAACCCCAGCCCATCCCCATCACCCGTTTCACCCCCCCCTGCCCCTCCCAGCCCCTCCTGGAGCTCCCAGGGATGTGGGGACCCGTTATGTGACCCAGGTATCCAAGCGCATGCGCTTTACGGAGGGGCTCTCCCCCTCGGGCTCGCTGGTGGGTCGCAGGAGGCCCAGGGAGGAGCCGAAATCGGGGCGGGCGGGGTCGTCCCGCTCGCTGCTGCCCTCGTAGGAGCTGGTGTTGCTGCTGAGGCTGTCGACGGGCGAGCGGCCGGTGGGCTCGTGGCGGGGCTGGTGGGGGAAGGTGCTGAGCGGGGTGGCAGTGTTCCTCTCCCGGTTGGGCGAGACGGGCTCGGACTTGATGCTGATGTTGGGGTTGGTGTTGACAGTCAAAGTGGTGGTGTGGGACAAGTGACTCCCTTGTCTGGGCATCCGGAAGGTGGGGGAGAGAGGTTGGGACAGGAGGAGGAGGAGAAAGAGGAGAAAGAGGAGAGCAGAAGGGGAGGAAGGGGGAGAAAAAGATGGAGGAGGAGATAATGGGAAATCTCTCATTATTATCTTTTTGGCGGCCTTCTACTCTCCAGTGCATAGAATTCAGAACTTTCACATGCTACAGTTGAATGAACCCATGATTCTAAACCTGGATTGGATTATTAATCTGGATTCGTAAGAAGAATTATGACTTCAGAATCACGTGCAGTCACGAGGATGCATCACCACAGAGTTGGGACCAGAGCCTGTGGGCAGCATCCCTCCTCCACCAGCACCCCATGATCCAGCCCCAATCCCACCCACTGTCCCTCAGCAGTGGCCCAAAGGCATGGGTGTGCCTACAGCTCTGCCCCTGCGTCCCTCTGGGCTGCACAGACCCAGCACATGGCTCAGCCAGGTGGTTTTGCTCAAAACTGGGAACCTCAACCTCTGCAGCACAAAATTTTGTCCAGGGTTTCCACACATCCTACAGCCCCACTGGTGCAGGAGATCCAGGTAGCTACTCAGGAAGCTGCTGCCTGTCCTGCCTGGAGAACATGCACCAGGCAGTGAGGAAACACTAAACTCCTACACAAAAACCTGCTCCACCCATCCATCCACCTCTTCATCCATTCCTCCAGTCATCCACCTATCCCACCCCTTCCTATGTCCATCCTTCCAGTCCTCTATTCATCTCACCATGCATCTCCCCATCCATCCATCCATGCATCCATCCATGCATCCACCCATCCCTTCATGGTGGAAATGTCTTTTACTCATGGCTGGGGCACTCACGATCCCCCTCCTCAACTCCTGCCTCTCTTTGTCCCATGGTCTCAATGTGATCACAGGCAAGTGGCTTAAATCGTACTGTTGACTGTAATTCTGTGTATGGGTGCTTTATTCCAGAGTAAAAGCAGATCCAAAATCCTGCTCTAAGATGCAAGTGCCTGTATTTTCTGCCCTGGAGAAAAGCAATCACTTTGCAATACTAAAAGCCACCTTCTTCCACACCAGCAGGGCACAATTCCACGCACCTTATCCTGCATTGTCCATCTCACCTAACACAGCCTCTGGCCCATTCTCAGCTCCCCCAGGTGAGTGCAGGGATCAGTGCCACTGTGGACAGGCAGCAGCACGAGGCTCTCAGAGCGTCCCCAGGTACCCTGACCTCAGCCAGGGACAGTGACAGGGACAGGACTCCCCAGTCCCCACAAGCCATCTGTGCACAGGCACACAGCTCCTGCCCCCAGAACGCAGCCTGGGCAGTCTGGAGAACCCAGAGCAGTCCCAGCTGAGGCTCTGCAGGGGTGGCACCCCAGAGGGACTCCCCATTTCCCTCTGGTGTCACTTACATTAAGTTTCCTAGTGACACCGGGACCAGGTGCTGCTGCTGCGGCTGCTGCTGCGGCTGCTGTGGCTGCTGCTGCTGCTGTTGTTGCTGCTGTTGCTGCTGCTGCTGCTGCTGTTGCTGCTGCTGTTGTTGCTGCTGCTGCTGCTGCTGCTGCCAGGCAGAGATGTTGCCCAGGGACAGCCCTCCAGGCGAGCTGAAGGCGGGCAGCGAGGACAGCTCAGCGCTCGTCAGTTGATAATCTGCAAGGGAAGGAGCCCTGCAGTCACCTCCATGCCAAACCTGCCCCACCGTGCCCCGGGCACTGAGGGGGGATGGAGACACACCAGAGACACAGATGCACAACCTGCAGCTCGTGCTGCAAGTGGCACGGGGATGCTGCCAGAGGACACAGCGCGTGTGTGTGGATGGCTTGGTGGAGTCACAGAATCAGTCAGGCTGGAAAGACCTCTGAGATCCAGTCCAACCTATGACCAAACACTCCATCAGTGAAGGGACATTTAAAGGCCATCTAGTCCAACATGCAGGGACACTTTCCACTATCCCAGGCCATGAACATGTGAGACCCCCAGAGCCCCCTCCAGTCAAATGTACGGGGCCAGACACACTTCCTCCCCTCCTGGAGCAGCAAACCCTGGCAGCTGACACCCACCTGTGCCTGGGGCACCTTCATCTGTACCTGAGGCACCTTCATGTGTTCCTGGGGCACCTTCATCTGTGCCTGGGGCATCCCCATCTGTACCTGGGGCACCCTCACCTGTACCCGGGGCACCCTAACCTGTACCCGGGGCACCCTCACCTGTACCTGAGGCATCCTCACCTGTGCCTGGGGCACCCCCACCTCTACCTGGGGCACCCTCACCTCTACCTGGGGCATCCCCATCTGTACCCGGGGCACCCTCACCTGTACCCGGGGCACCCTCACCTGTGCCTGGGGCGTCCCTGGGACAGCCCCACGCGCGCCGTGTCCCGGGTGGCAGCAGGGGGCGCTCCCTGCCCGCCATGGGGACACGGAGCTGCCACCATGACCCCCCTATCCAGAGCACCCCGCACCCCGGGACCCCCTCCTCCCCACTGTTCCCACCCCCTCCAGGGCACCCCACACCCCGGGACCCCCTCCTCCACACTGTTCCCACCTTCTCCAGGGCACCCTGCGCCCCGGGACCCCCTCCTCCACACTGTTCCCACCCCCTCCATGGGCACCCCACACCCCGGGACCCCCTCCTCCCCACTGTTCCCACCCCCTCCATGGGCACCCCACACCCCGGGACCCCCTCCTCCCCACTGTTCCCACCCCCTCCATGGGCACCCCGCACCCCCGGACCCTTCCCCCCAACTCCTGCCTTTCCCATGTAGAACCCACAGAAAATCCCAGTGGGGCACCTCCTACCAGGTGGGGATTTTACAAAGGGTTGTGCTGGTGGAGAAAGCCAGGGAGGAAAGTGCTGCTCCTTCAGGAGATGGTCAAACCTCGGTCAGCCATGTCAGCCTGACACAGACACCCAGCAAAGCCTCCTCACACCCTCTCCTGCCCTCTTCTAGCTCTAATTTTGGGTGTCTTGTGGTTTCGGCTGTCCCCACCCCAGCAGCACACACAGAGGTGGCTGTGCTGGTGCTGAACTGCTGCCAAATCCCCGGCACACCCCACCCAACATCCTGGCACCGGCTTCCCTGCTCCAAACCTCCTCCACCCGCTGCTGCTCTGCCTTGGGAGCTCCTGACACTCACTGGTGACACTGGCTGCCCCTGTCCACATCACAGAGCTGGGAATGGGCAGGTCTGACACCCCAGCACAGGAAAGGGCACGTAACTCTGGCCAGAGGGCAGCTCAGCACAGCTGCACTAGCCTGAGATCCAGCAATACCCACCCAACCAACAGTGAGTCCCGGCAAGAACAAGCGGCAGTGCTCCAGGCTGGGAGTTTGCTCAGGGCATCTGCACCCTCCACCACCCACCAACAATCACCTCTGCAGCACCACAGAATCACTGGAAACGCTGGAAAGGCTCTCCAACACCACCCAATTGCTCCCCCAGCACTGCCAAGGCCACCACTAACCCATGTCCCCAAGTGTCACAGTCTGTTAAGCCCCTCCAGGCATGGTGACACCACCACTGCCCCAGGCAGTCTGTTCCAAAGCCTGAACACCTTTTCCACATAGAAATGTTTCCTAATATCCCACCTAAAGCTCCCCTGGCACAACCTGGGGCCGTTTCTTCTTGTCCTGCCCTTTTGTTACCTGGAAGCAGAGCCCAACTCCCCCTGGCTGTCCCCTCCTGTCAGGGAGTTGTGGAGAGTGACAAAGTCCCCCCCGAGCCTCCTTTTCTCCAGGCTGAGCCACCTCAGCTCCTTGTGCTCCAAACCCTTCACAAATCAAGACAATTCCTATCCAATGAACAGGGCAGCTCTGGCAGAACTGCCAGGGTCAGAGTTTGCACCCTACAGCCCCTGAGGCTCACCCCCACAGCAAACACCTGGGCAGGAACACCCATGGTCAGCTGGGAGGAAAAATAACTACAGAGAGCTGAAATTCAGGCGCCTCCGCTCTGAGCAGAGGCACAGGGCTCAATTAAAACCTATTTTGGGGAGTCTGGCTGTGCCCAGCCTGGCTGGCAAACCACATGGTCACGCAGGGAGAGGAGCCTCATCACGCACAACCAGCATCTTTGGGACTACACCTACTAATTAGGAGAGGGAGTATCCAACACGCCAGCTCTGGGTTCTTCCAGACAAGCAGCTTTTTTACATTTTTGCAAACTTTTCTCTGAGCCAGAACAAGTTACACAGGCAGCCAGCAAGTCCTCAAAGTCTTGGTGGAGGTCTGACAGGTGGGAGATGAACAACCCTTCTGCTTGGGCGAGTGCACTGTCACTGTTGCCTCGGGCTGATTTCAATCCACCAGCCCAAATCAGATGTGCCTATGAGCAGGTTGGTTTGCATTCTTCCCCAACTTTTGGAGGGGCCTACGCTTGTTGTCATTATTACAACACCCCCTGAGCTCTGAGAGCCCAGGGATGGGTGCAGCTGTAATTAGCACCCACTTGCACGGTGCAATGGGCTACACCAGCCCTCACAATGAGCTCTCACCACTTCCATAATGAGGTTCCCCCTGATTTTAGTCCTGTGGAACTCTTGCACTCAACCACATCTTGCAGTGGAGAGTTCCACGAGCACCACTGCAGCTGCTCGGGAGCACCGGGCACGTGCCTGCAGCAGCACATTTCCCTCTGGTGTCAACTGACCCACCTGAGAGCCCTGCCTTGCCCTGGCCATGTCCTACCTGTGTCACAGCCCTGCCTTGGCCATGTCCCACCTGTGTCCCAGCCTGTGGGAATCCAGGGCTTCCTTCTGGCCGCCCTGGCAGGTCTAGGACCCTGGCAGGGGTTAGGAACTGCACTGTATAGAGCCTCGAGAGACACTGGCTGTGATCTCTGTCTATGGAAAAGAGTTTTCAATCTTACAAGATGAATTACAAGCTTTGAGTGTTTGATAAGAGTAATAATTAAGTGTGACACGGGTGCAAAAGTAAAATTTAAGGTTTCTAGATTAGGGGTTCAGAGGGGACAAGATGGAGGAACTGGGTGTGCCTTGTCCTTTTTCTCCTTCTTCATGCCCTCCATGTTTCACTGTGGTGTTGGCATTTTTCTGTTGGTTCAGGCTGGGGACACACTGTCCAACGTAGGTGACAGATATTGGCACGTTATTGTAAATCCAGCACAGGTAGTTTGTGGTATTTAATGTTTGTAACATCCCACTGAGGGCAGAGCCCCACACGCTGCCCTGCAGGACAGAGCTGCGGCAGGGCAGCAGAACATGTTAGAGATAAACAGAATAAACAACCTTGAAACAGCACAGACGAATTACGATTTTTTCTTTGGCAACGGGGCTGACAGACAGAGACTTTCTACAATGTCGGAATCACCAATACCCACAGATTCCAACACCAGCCCTCCCTGGCCATGTCTTACCTGTGTTGTACGCTGTGGGCATGGCTGAGAAGGGCAGCCCCTGTGTCAGCAAACTCGGAGTAGCCACGGAAACAACTGGTGTGGTCAGAGAGTGAGTTGCTTGAGAGACACCCAGCCGCTGTGTGTTTTGCTGTGGGAGCAAACAGGGAGGGGGTTAAAGCCCAAATGGTTGGACTCAGTTGTTTCTGTGGGTGGTGGCCGCCCTCAGACCCCCTGGGCATGCACTGGAGCTGAGCATGGAGACCGTGGGACAGGCAGGATTGATCCTCTGGCCATTCCACACTGCAAATGAGCAAAGTACAAATCACACCAGCTACTGACACCCTGGACCTTGTGACACTCATCTGCAGGTGGTGGCCTTGAGTCCCCTTCCTGCCCAGGGCTGGGCTGCAGCCACCAGCACCAGCCATGCCCCTGTGTGCATGGAGGGGAACGTCAGCAGGAGGCTCAGACAATCCCTCACTGCTTCCCAGAGGTTGCATGTGAGCCTTGCTGAGCTTCCAAGGAGTGACAAAGAGACCAAAGCAAACCAAGACTGGCCAAGGCAGCACAGAGCTGCATCTCCTCCATGCAGCTCTGGCCAAGAACAAGCCCGTGCCTCAAGGGAAGCTGAGGATGCTAAGCATTGGCCTCAGGATTTCAAAGGCACTCTGGAATCCCTAAACTCGAAGTCCAGCGCTCAGCAGCCTGCTGGCTTGGTGTCCTCACAAGGTTTTGGTGACTCAGGTATTAGCAGGTCCACTGGAGTAAAATTCTGCCCTTGGACAGGTGCACACCAACCTCCCCCCCATGGGCTTCCAGGCAGTTATGTGGGCAGATCTACAGGTCAGGTTCAGCCCTGTTTACAAGGCAGATAATCTGGGCTGTCTCTGCTGATCTGATTTAAATCAGACTCAAGAGGCTTGACTCTAATCCGAAGCAGCCCAGCACACGTCACCCTGTGAAGACTGGGGCAGTGCCCAGCTTAAACCATGCCTGGCACGAGGCTGGCAGGGGCACAGTGAGCAGCCTTCCTGTGGGACTGAGGGCTCCCAGGGCCTTGCAGGGCTGGGCACAGACTCTGCAATGCTTCCCCACGGCCAGGGAGACTCTCCTGGCGCAAGGCTGGAGGCTAAAACCCTGCCCTGGCCACCTGCAGAGGGTAACAGCACCTGACTGTGCAGGATTTGCTCACCTGCGCCCACACAGTGCCCAGCCCCAGGTGCCTCCTGTGGCCTGGAGAAGGAGATTAGCAGGGCTCTGATTGCTAAAGCTGTGGGGGGCTGCAGGGGTGGGTTTTCCTGGCACGGCAGCCACCCTTGGGTGCCCGCTGCTGCGGGTTAAGGACACGACACGGAATGTGCTCACAAAGGCACAGCCCTGTCCCTGTGCTGCCTGCACGAGACCCTGAGCCAGCCCGGTGGGATGCACCCCCACAGCCCCATCCCTTCTGCCCCTCTCTCCAGGGCTCTGTGGCTTCCCTGGGAGGGCACAGGATGAGCGTGGCCGTGCCACAGGGCTGGGCAGGGTGTGCCACCCCCAGGAACCCCCTTGACGGCACAAGGTGAGTGTGGGGAGGTCAGCCCCAGCTGTGCTGGGGAAAGCACCCCGATTTTCACCACAATCCATGCAGGGAGGAGGTGTGCAAGCTGCCCCCCACATCGTGCCCACAGACAACACTGCCATTCCAGCTGGTAACACACCATGCAGCATGCTCCCAGGGAAGGGATGCACTGAATGGACCCTGCTGCCCCTGGAGTGTCAGGAGGGCGATGGGGGGACATCTCTCTGAGCCCTCAGAGGGAGGAGAGAACGCTCAGAGCTGCAGGAGCAGCGCTGAGGTGGCAGGGCTGGGGCTGCGGGCAGTGGGGACGCAGCAGAGGGATTCTGACTCATCTCACAGCTGCCTGCAAAGAGGTGGGAGCTGCCATTTGGAGAGAGGATCTGGTGTGTAGGCTGAGCAATATGGCAGGAGCAAATCTGGGGAGAAGGTTAGCAGAGCAGGGGGCATCTGCACCAGGCAGGAGGGATCTGCAGGGACAACACTCTGCAGTCCCCTTCCTGATCCAGCAGTGCCAAGGTCCCCGTCCCACCCTGCCCACATTCCATCACCCTCCACCTCACTGCTGCCACCTTGGCTGGGGTGAGGACGTTTTTCACTTCAGGTAAAAACCCACCAGGTTAATTCAGACCAACAATTAAAACTGCAAATGCCACCCCAGCGGATTTTCACCTAATGCTGCTTCAGCGTGTAGCCAGGGAATGCCCCGGGCAGAGGGATCAGGAACGAGCAGATGGGGAGGTGGGGAGTGACTGCTCTCCCTCCACACATGGGGAAACTGAGGCACACAGATGCTGGAAGGGGGCCACTAAGCAAGAAGGGTTTGGGGACACGAAGAGCAGCAGAATTCACGTCTGCCAAAGCTCTGGCCCACCCTTGCCCTGGCCAGGAGTGCCTCGGTGCAGGCTGGCAGAGGGACTGGCCTTCTCCTGTGTTTTTGAAGAGCTTTTCCCTGGCTGCGTGACCTGCATCCCGCAGCAGCTCTTGCCCTTCCCTTGCTGAGCTGACCTGTCTCCCAGCTGCCTGCACCAGAATAGCAGCAGAGCAGAGTGAATCCTTGCCACAAACAAGGTGGCATTCACTTTGCTGGCAGGGAGAGGGAAAAAAGCCATAAAAATAACACAACAAACTGCCCTGTGCACAAGGGACGTTTAGGGAGGGTACTAGCCAGCCAGTGGATTTACACAGGCTTTAAATAATATCTTTAATATGGGAAGAGCCTGATTTACTCCCTGTCTCTCATGTACTGGCAATGGGCCAGGTCTCCCTGTGCTATAGCTGTGGTGGCTCCAGCGAAGCCCCATGGGCAGGTCCAGGGCAGTGGCAGTGCCCAGCTCAGCTCCACAGTCCCCAAAGGGACCCTGGCTGACCTCCCCAGGGGGACCGACACAGCAATTTTGGCCTTGGTGGAGAAACAGGCACTTTGCAGCTCATTCCAGCCCTTCTTTTGCACAGGGGAACTCGGTTTTCCTCAAAGCGTGTTTTCCTCGGGATTTATTTTCTGCAGCAGGATTGGACGTAACGCTGGTGCCCACATCCCGCCGCATGCCCAACACAGGGAGCTGTGCCCACCCCTCTGTGTGCCCCACGCCAGGGCAGGACCAGCCCACGTCCCAGCACACGCCATGCACGCTCAGAGGGGAACTCACCAGAGCCAAGTGGTCCTCGGTCTGTCCGGGGAATACAGGGAGAGAACCGAGAGGCACCGTTAGCGCCAGCACCCCAACCCCGCCCGACTGCGCCCGCTGGCACCATGCCCTCGCTCCCACGGGGCACAAACTGGTCAGAGTGGTGCCCAAAACAGGGTTTGCACCAGCCATGGGGCACAAACAGGTCAGAGTGGTGCCTGAAACAGGGTTTGCACCATGCATGGGGCACAAACTGGCTGCCATAGGGTTTGCACCAGCCATGGGGCACAAACAGGTCAGAGTGGTTGTCCCACAGGGTTTGCACTGTCCAGGGGGCACAAGGAGGTCAGAGTGGTGGTTAAAACAGGGTTTGTACTGTCCATGGGGCACAAACAGATCAGAGTGGTGCCTAAAACAGGGTTTGCACTGTCCACGGGGCACAAACAGATCAGAGTGGTGCCTAAAACAGGGTTTGCACTGTCCATGGGGCACAAACAGGTCAGAGGGATGCCTGCCACAGGGTTTGCACCATCCATGGGGCACAAACCGGCTGCCACAGGGTTTGCACCATGCATGGGGCACAAACAGGTCAGAGTGGTGGTCCCACAGGGTTTGCACTGTCCATGGGGCACAAACAGGTCAGAGTGGTGGTTAAAACAGGGTTGCACTGTTCATGGGGCACAAACAGGTCAGAGTGGTGCCTAAAACGGGGTTTGCACCAGCCATGGGGCACAAACAGATCAGAGTGGTGCTTCCCACAGGGTTTGCACCATCCATGGGGCACAAACAGGTCAGAGTGGTGGTTAAAACAGGGTTTGCACCATCCATGGGGCACAAACAGGTCAGAGTGGTGGTCCCACAGGGTTTGCACTGTCCATGGGGCACAAACAGGTCAGACTGGTGCCTAAAACAGGGTTTGCACTGTCCATGGGGCACAAACAGGCTGCCACAGGGTTTGCACCAGCCACGGGCACAAACAGGTCAGAGTGGTGCCTAAAACAGGGTTTGCACTGTCCATGGGGCACAAACAGGTCAGAGTGGTGCCTGACAGAGGGTTTGCACCAGCCATGGGGCACAAACAGGCTGCCACAGGGTTTGTACTGTCCATGGGGCACAAACAGGTCAGAGTGGTGGTTAAAACAGGGTTTGGACTGTCCATGGGGCAAAAACAGATCAGAGTGGTGTCAAAAACAGGGTTTACACCAGCCATGGGGCACAAACAGGTCAGAGTGGTGCCCAAAACAGGGTTTGCACCAGCCATGGGGCACAAACAGGTCAGAGTGGTGCCTGACAGAGGGTTTGCACTCTCCATGGGGCACAAACAGGTCAGAGTGGTGGTTAAAACAGGTTTTGCACTGTCCATGGGGCACAAACAGATCAGAGTGGTGCCTGACAGAGGGTTTGCACCATCCACGGGGCACAAACAGTCTCCTACAGGGTTCACACCACCGAGGATGCCGCAGGCAGGAACCCAAGCCTTCCTCCTCGGATCTCCCCTCCAGGACAGCTCCCACCAACACACCGATCTCCCTGGCAGCCTGCCCGCTGGCACAGGACCCCTCCCGCCCGGCTGGCGGCCCTGCAGAGCTGTGGGCACTCACCAGGTGGTGCATCAGCCCCTTGCCGCTCTGCGAGGTGATGACGCGCAGGTCCGGCTTGCGGCTGTTGGCGGCCAGCTGCGCGCCGTGTGCGGGCGGCGGCGGCGACTTGGCCGGGATGATCTTGCCCAGGCTGCTGCCGTTGGACACGGGAAGGAGACCCGGGGAGGCTCGGGCGCTGACGTAGCCATTTCCTGCAGGAACACGGGTGGCAGAGAGGAAGGGGGTGAAGGCACGGTGATGGTTGGACGCGCGGTGGTGAACGCGCGGTGACGGCGAACGCGGCGCAATGGTGAATGCGTGGTGATGAACACGCTGCAGTGGTAAACATATGCACGGTGAGTGGTGCTGCAGTGGGGCTCCCTGAGTGGTCCTCCATGTGGAAGAGCAGCACTGCGTCCCCCAGGCTCCCCAAAACCCTCGTGCACCCCGGCAGGTTCATCCTGCAGGGTGAAGCCAGGACAGGCAGTAGCCCCGAGCCCACAGTGCAGCTCCTCAACCTGCAGGGACTCCCCCTTGTTCCTGCAGTGACACCCAGCAAATCTCAGAGCCTGATCTGCAGCCAGGCTCGCTCCCCGCTTTGCCTGGGCACCGCGGCCCTGCCAAGACGGGTAATTACTGGCACATTCACTTTTAAGGTCTCTTTATGGTACTGGGGCAGTGAAAAGGGGCTGTGGCAGAGTGAAGACTCAGTTCACTGCTCCCACTGCCCCTTTGAAGATCTAAGGTTCCCTCCTTCTCCTCCTCCTGCTGCCCCACTTAAGGATTTTATGTGCAAAGAGAGGGGAAAAAAAAAAGAAGAAAGGAAAGGAAGAAAAAAAATTAAAAGGAAAAGATTTGATGAACATCAGGAAAGGAATAAATTGGATCAGATTACTGTTCTGATGAGGGCTGGTTTTTTTTTCATGAATAGGCCCCAAAGATAGAAAGGCGTTCAGCAATCACCAGGATTCAGCCCTCATATTCATTGCACGTTAGACCGGGAAAAATAGGTCGCTGATTGCATTATTAATCACATCTACCATTGCGCTGCATCTGCATTTCAGCAGGCGGCTGGTGGCAGCGACGCCGCAGCCGCAGCGTGTGGGGGCTGAGCGCCAACCCTGCCCCTCCGGAGCTGTCCCGGGCTGGACACAGCGGGGACGGGCTGGACCAGGCACAGGGGGTGGTGATGCTGCCCAGAGCTGCAGCTCTGGTCCCACAGATGGCACCAGGGACAGGCTGGACCAGGCACAGGGGCCCAGAGCCACAGTTCTGGTCCCACAGATGGCACCAGGGACAGGCTGGACCAGGCACAGGGACCCAGAGCTGCAGCTCTGGTCCCACAGATGGCACCAGGGACAGGCTGGACCAGGCACGGGGGCCCAGAGCCGCAGCTCTGGTCCCACAGATGGCACCAGGGACAGGCTGGACCGGGCACAGGGGGTGGTGATGCTGCCCAGAGCCACAGCTCTGGTCCCACAGATGGCACCAGGGACAGGAAGTGTTGCCCCAGTGACACCCACGGTGGCCAGGCTGCTGCAGGCTGGCAACTGTGGCATCTGTGTCCCTGATGGAGGGAGAGGACCGGCCTTCCTGTCCACTTTGAGGTGTCCTCCCAGTCCCAAATCACCGTGAGCAGCCATGCATAAGGCATGTCCCTGGTGCATCAGGCCCTGGCACCTCTGTGCACTGTGAACTGCTGGAATCCTGCTCACAGGGGCACTGGCTTTTAGATTTATTAACAAAGAAGGTGCAGAAATTCCTCAGGTGACCGTGGCTACCCACAGTGCTGGTGGCCATGGAAAAGCCAAAAGAAATGTTAAACCCCTTGATATTCTCCTTCCCAAGGCACCACTGGCACGGATGCACATGGGGCTCCCATGGTGACTCTCTCTTTGAGGCACATCCCGTTATCTCTGTATCACCTGGGGTGTGGGTTGGGGTGGCTCCCTGTGCTGGAGAGGAGCTGGTTTGGGTTCCAGTGCTGCCACTCACCCCCAAAGATGGGTGGCCTTGGGCTGTCACTGCTGCTGTCATTGCCATGTCCACCCAGCACGGATCCGGCCAGCCCTGTGAGCCAGAGAGAGAAGGGCTACACTCCCACCAGGACTTCCCAACCAAGGGCCCCCACCACAAAAAGAGTCTAAAAGAGGAGCACTCTGGCCTGCCTTTGCACCACCCTAGCGTGAGTTTGAGCGGGGACACTCAGGGCTCAGCATCCCCCCACGGGCCAGGCGGGGTGCTGCGTCCTGAGGGTGGCACACGCCACGGAGCGTGGGCAGGACGCAGGGATACAGCGACATCACTGCAGGATCCGGCCAGAGGCACCCGCAGCTGATGACTCAGAGGCAGCAGGTGATCACTCAGTGCTGCAGAGACTGCAAGGGAGGAGGAGGAGGAGGAGGAGGAGGAGGAGGAGGAAGAACGTACCAGGTATTTGAAAACCGCAAGCGCAGTGCCAGAGCCGAACCAGAGCCACAGTCCCCTCCCAGAGGCAGGAGGGGAGCCCCGGGGAGGGTCTGGGGGCAGCACAGGCTGGCCACAGCCGGGCTGCCCCTGCTCCTCACACCCATTTCCTGCAGTGGCAGCAGGAACGCAGGGAATGCTTCGGTGACGTCAATGCTGACATTCACGGGCCCTGCCAAGCTCTGCACCCGCCATGGCTGCTCCGACAGCTGACATGGGGGCGGCTGCGGGGGAACAGGGCCCTGGAGCTGCCTGGGGGCTGCGGCACCACGGCCCCTTCCCTCTGCCCTCAAGGATCAGCAAAGCTCCGTGCTGGGGGCCCTGAGAACCCCGGGAGACGCTGGCCCACAGACCACCTTGGCAGGGTTTGCTCTGCGAAGAAATCCTGCCCAGCACAGGGAAATGGCCATTCCTGGCAGTAGCCACAGTGTAGGGGATGGAGTTGGGCGGCCACAGTGCTGCAGAACCACAACTGGACCAACCCCACCCAAAAATCAGTGGGACCTGGCTCCAGTTTGGTTTTAACTGGGGCAATGTGGAATTCCACATTCCTCCTCCGTGCTGTCGGCTGGACACCTCCTGCAAAAAGGCCCAGAAGGGGTGAGGAGTCAGGCTCAGGAGCAAGGCTGCCTTTGCCCTGGGATGGATGGCATCTACCCTGCCAAGCCTGGGAGCGCTGCCAAGCCTAGTGCCAGCAGCAGCAGCTGCTTCCCAGCAGTACCCAGGGCCGTTGCTGGTTTTTGGGCTGTGCCTACACCAGCAGTGGCCCAACATCTTCAGCCTGCAGATGGCAGAGGCAGACGTGGGGATGGAGATATAGTTAGTGCATTTTACAGCTGAGGAGCTGAGCCATGAGGCCTGAGCCTCATTAGCACTGAGGCTCTCACAGTGGAAAAGGCTCTTAATGAGCTTTTTTTCCTTGCAGTAAAGTTCCTTTATAGGGCCCAAGCACGAGGAGGAACTGGGTGTTAATTGATCACCCGAGGGAGGCGGAGAATTGGCTGCAGCACCAGGAGCTGAAACCAGAGCTACCCAAATCCCAGTCTTTGGGGGTCACCTCCCTGCTCTCCAGCTCTCCCCAGAATCCTGGGTAGATGGAGATGAGGTCTCCACTGAAAGTAGCTCCCACAGCAAAAGCACTGGCCTGGAGCTCCACATGCCAGCTCCTCCCATCGCCAAGAGCAGCACAATCCTCCCCAGGGCTTCCCTATGGACCAGCAGGGCCCAACAGCAAAGCAAAACCCCATGGGGCATGCGGGGAGACCGAGGGCAGGAGTGTCACACGGAGCCAGGGGCACGGGGCTGAAAGGCTCCTTACTCACCCACGGGGCTGGGGCAGGCTCCGTTCGTGTTGTTCAGGTCTCCCCCAAGCATCGCCCCTGGAAAGCAAGAGGAGAGATGGGATCAGCATCAGTGCAGGAACTGGGTGAACATCCTGCTTTTTGGGGGGCAGGGGGCATGGTGGAAGAAGGCAGAGGAAAGAAAAGCAGGACTGCCTTCCTGGGAAGAAAGTCCTGGCCAAAATGAGCAGCATTCCTGGTGATCAGGTTGGGAAACGTTATCCAGGCATATCCGTTTCCTTTGGGAAGGAGCCAGGTGCACAGGAGCCTGTTCCAAAGGAGGCAGCTTGGAAAACACTGCGGCTATTTTATTCCAAGCCCCCCTTTGGGGGACACGGAGCTGGTGCTGCTGGGGGAGAGAGAGCCCCAGCAGCATGACAGGAAACAAAATCCCCCCTGTAATGCTCACACCGAGTGGAAACCACCCCACACTGCCAGGATGCCACAGCAATCCCCACTCCCATGGTCCCCACACTTCAGCAAAGCGCTGACGCTCCCCACCAGGCTGGGAGAAACTAGACCTTTTTATTCCCAAAAACCAGAACGTTTTGCCTGGCCTGGAAGAAGACTTGATCTTTCTTCTGCCTTGTTATGAAGTTATTTCTGAAAGCCACCTATTCCCCAGCCGGGGCTGCCTGACCACGCCGCGGGCGGCGACTGCAGCCAAGAGCCGGCGCGGAGGCTCCGGAGCTGCGACCGCAGTCAACCCGGAGCCCTGGGCTGGCCAACAAGGGGCTCTCGGTGCCAAACCCCACCTCTAACCCCTGCCCAGCCCTTCGCAACCCAGATGGGGAAACCTGAGACACCAATCTTTACCCAGCCCGTGGCTCTCGGCTTTGGGCTCGCAGCGAGCCCCTGAAAGCGGGAGGAGGGTGGGAGGGCTGAGCTGTGCAGGGAAGCACAGTATCTCCCCACATGGGAGCAGGATTGGTCCCAAAAAATGGTTATGGTCTGAGAAAGGGTGAAATGACTCACTAGATGTGACAAATGTGACACTGCAGCACCCTGCTCAAGGGATGGGGATGCAAAGCCAGAGGTCCCTGTGCCTCCCAAGTCCCAGAGAAAGGACTCCACCAGGGTTTTGTGGCTGTGCCCTGCTGTGGGACTCCACGTAGAGGGCCCACCTCCTTGGGTGAGTGATGCCAACCCCACCCCAGCCCCGTACACCCCCCCTTGGCTGCCCTTCTCCCACACCATCCCCGAGCCAGCAGCACCAGGCACCGTCAAGGTACCCACCCAGCGCACGCTGTGCATTTGCTTTGGAAACAACACAACCAGCTCTGGTGCAATGCTAAAAAAAAATTTAGGGGAAAAAAAAAAAGAGTTTTTTTAACATGCAAGGCCCTGGCTCCTATAAACAGGGTTTCTTCCGTGTCCCAGGCAGCGAGTGAATGAGACACAGATGGCTGGACTTGGAACACCTCTGCGCTCACAACCGCAAAATGATCCCCCTCAAACGAGCGGGGAGTGAGCTGGAAACAGCGAGCCCCCAGAGGGGTCTGCTTTACCAGGGAGCCTCTTCTGCTCGCAGCTGAGGGGCCTACGAGAGGGCAGGAGATCCCTGCAGCTGCAGCGATGGCTGCCTGTGCCCGAGGAGGGCTCTGCCATCCTGCCTGCAGTGAAATGCTGCTCCCTGGGACCAGTCTAGAGCAGAATGACCCCTCTCCTGCAGGTCTGGGGCCCCATCCTGATACAGGAGTGCTTCAAGGCACCTTGGTGAGAGCAGTGAGCAAGCAAGCTGTCTCTGAACCACGGTTCCTGCTGCATCCCAGCCAGACCATTCCTCCTGCTCACACAACCTGCTTCTGGAAGCACCTCCCAAATCCATCCAAATCTCTCCAAATCTGGAGCAATCTCTCCAAATCCATCCCCTCTGCAAAGCTCCCTGGAGCTCTCAAAGCCCCAGGGGCCACAGCTGAGGACCCAGACGTCCGGGTGGTGACTGGCACCAGCTCTGCCATTTGCAGCCCGGGTGACTTTTACAGACCATCTGTGCCATCCAAAATAGCAGAAATATTATTATTTATGATCATACCATGGGAGAGCTGGGCTGTGGTCACACGTCATCCCTGTCCCCCGTGCCACGGCAGGGGACGTGGGTGACAAGTCCTCTCCCCCAGCCTGTCCTGTGCCACCCATCGCCGGTCCCTGCTGGAAATGACTGCTCCTCAGATCTGTCAGCAGAGCCACATGAGTAATCGCCCACAGCCAACTGCAACCAGCATGGCCCGACTGAGAACAGCCCTTTTTAGGCAGCCAGACCCGTGTCACCGGAGTGCCACCGGCGAGCAGGATGCCAGCAGCCACCCCCGAGCCCGGGAATGGTGCCAGGTGACTCATCCTGAAACAGATCCTGCAGGGATCCAGCTCTCAAAGAGACCCAGGCACGGTGCGGAGGCTGCCCTCAGCTTGGGGCATCAGTGGCTGCCAGGAGGGCAGGAGCACACAGAGGGGCAACAACCCCTCCAGACTGCTTCTGCCACCCTCACTGCTGGCATGTGGACTCCTCCTGGACAGGGGGTGGAAGCAGCAGGGCTGTCCCCTCCCTCGGGGATGCCCCATGCTCGGTGCTGCAAGCCCAGCCAGGCAGGAGGGACGAGGTGAGGGGGCAGGTGTGGCTCACCTGCACTGGCTGGCCGCTGTGGCAGCCCTGGGGACACCGTGTTCCTCTGCAGGGCCGGCTGCTGCGGCGACAGGAGCCGGGGGTCTGTCAGCGAGGAGGTCACCAGGGACTGGGTCACCAGCGAGCTGCCCGGGTTGCTGAACTGCAGCGTGTTCTGGTTGGTCACCGGCACCGTCACGGGCATGGCGAAGTTCGGAGCGGGCACTGTGGACTGAACAGAGGGCAGGGGGTAAAGGAGAGCCGAGTTCCTGCAGCACAGCACAGCTGCTGACCAAGGGGAGACTGTCAGGCTCCTCAAACCTCCACTGCTGACCTGCAGCGCTGTGCTCAAACCCACACTGGCACCTTGCAGGGGATGCACCAGAGCCCAGTTCCCCACCAGGGAACACCAGGAAGAGCAATGGGCCATCCTCTCGGACACACCCGAGCTCTGCAAACAACTGTTTTGGCCCCTTTTTCAGGCTGTATTTATTTACCCCCTGTGTTTTCAGGGCAGGCATGAAGGAGAGGCTGGGAGCAGCCCAGAGCACGAAGGTGGGCACCAGCCTGGTGGTCTGCCCCCACCAGCACCGACAGCAGCCAAGCTTGGCGCTGCCCTTCACCCCAGGCAGGATTCCACGAGGCCGTTCTTCAGCCAGCAGGAATCCAGCAGTGGATCCCCATTCTGGGCTGGCACTGCTGCTGGTGGCCGAGCACTGGGAAAGACTCGTTTTGCTCCACAGAGCCCCTGGGTGACTCTGGGATCCATCCTGCCTCCTCTGGGAGCTGCTGGGAAGGACGAGCTGACCCCAGGGATGCAGGAGCATCACTAAAGCCCTATGCTTGGCTGCAGGTTGAGGACCAGCTTCACCTACCAGCGTCCCGTGGGAGCCAGACCCGCTGCGATTATCCCAGCCGTTTGTCTTATGTCACAGATTTGCTCTTCGTTAACAGGAGCTGGCACCTGCTTAGAGGCTTTAGCACGGGCTTTGCTTAAGTCCCACTTTAATTTGCTCCGGGATGGAGAGGGAGAGTAGCCCAGCACTGAACGGGACCGTCACGGGGCCAGAGGTGGAACCCCACAGGCTGCACCAGCGAGGGAAGAGGGAGCTGAGGTCTCTCCACTGCAGCTGGTGCGTGTCCCCCCTGCCCTGCAGCCCCCTCTCCTCCAAAAATCTGCTCCTGTATCGGTCCTGCTCCTTAGGTGAGAGGGGGGATCTGCTTCCCAAGGGCATCCTGTCCTTCAGAGCTATCCCGTGGCCCAGCCAGGCTGCGAGGCCAGCGGCTCCGAGCCCGCACCGTGGCACCGCTCCCGGGGCTGCTGCTCACAGGGATGGGCAGAGCAACTCCTACACCACCAGGGAGAGCTGGAACACGGAGCCCTCCCTCTGCTCAGCCCGGGAGCTCATCCTGCACGGCAGCAGAATCAGAGGAGGAGGAGGAGGAGGAGGAGGAGGAAGGTTTCTCGGGCGTTGCACGAACACCGGAGCAGCGTTGTGTAAGAAATCACTGCCAACGCGTCCATGTGCGCGCAGCGTTCCCAGCGAGGGAGAAAGAGCTGAAGCTCCTCCACGCCATGGCAGAGCTGTGAGCTGGATACACCAGCCCAGCAGCCGAGTTTGCCTCAATCCAGCTGCACCCCCTGCACCTGCAGGCAGGCAGCAAGCAGGCTGCCACCGCCCCGGCACACCCGGGACACCCTGCCCCAGAGAGGGCACGATGGCGGTCCAAAGTCGGGGGGAGAAGATGCACACATCAGCCAAAATCCACGATTTCTGCTCTTGTTAGAAGTGAGGGCAAACACCAGAGGCAGCAGCCCCGCCGAGGTCCCTCGTTAGCAGACACGGCTGTCGTTAAGCTGCTGGGTTAGTTCTGGTCACACACAAAACCAACCCAGCGTTAAAATGGAAAAGCGCCTTCTTCAACCACACACGCTCCACCTGCACTGCTTGGCCCCTTGCTGCCAGGGAGGTTTAGTGGGGGAGCCAGATGCTGTGCCCTGATGAAGAGCCACCCGGCACTTGAATGTCACCTGCTGAAAGGACTTCTGGGCACAGATTGTCCCTTTGGGTTGGCATGTCTGGATGATGGGGGCCTACTCAGGGCCCTCCCTTCGCAGCAGACACCTTCTAATGCTGAGCAGCCTCTGCTCACCAGCGTGTTCTGCTCTAAGGACAAAGCTCAGGTGGCTTTTCAGCCTATATTCCACCAGTGGCAGGGCTTGTGCCAGTGCTGGGGGGTGCGTGTCCTGCTGGGGCTCTACTCCCACCTCACATACCCTGGTAGGGTGGGAACCTGCACCCCCCTAGTGAAACCAGGGAGGCTGAGGTAGATCCGTGTCCTGACAGAGCTAATCCTGCCCTGAACCCCTCTCACGGGGCTGAGCTCCTTGTCACAGCACAGCTGCAAGAGATCATCACCACCTGCACCTCACTTTCCTCCCTCCTCAGCCCTCCCAGGTCTCAGGGCAGCCTCTCCACCCCCTCCACCCTGAGGTCTAGGGGATCAAAACGCAGATTTTGGGATCCTTGCAAGGCTTGTGGAGCAACACAGCGCTGAGTCAGCAAAACAAAACCTGGGGATTTCACAAGGCCCAGTTCTCAACAAAAGCCAGAATTTTAACTTGTGGGGGCTTGCAAAGCACAGAAAGGCAGATTATTTTGGGTGGGGCTGCGTGTGTCATTTTTGCTGTGCTGCATCCACCCCTGGACAGGAACCTCCCCCTGCTCCGCAGCATTAATTACCGCTGCAGCAACTCGGGGCTAATCCCCTGAAGAGCCCTTGCCTGCATCAATAGTCTCTGCTCCCTTGAACTAACAACTAATTTGAAACGTGTCCCCCTCCTCCTCCCGTCTCCTGACACAAATCCCTTTCAGCACTGTCCTGATGCCACCCCAGTGCCAGTGACAGCTCTGGGATCACAGGCTAAAACCTCCCTGGATTTCTGCCACAGCCACCAGCTGCCCTGAGGGCTCGGTGGATTTGGGGGGAATTAATGTGGAATAGCCCAAACCAAGCTGAGCTTTGCAAGGATGTGAGAGGTCGGCACCCGCCACCAGCTCACATGAACACTGGGATCTTAACCCAGACAAAAATCTCGTTTTTTGAGGAAAAGAGGGTGAAAAAGGAGTCCCTAATCCAGTACTTGCAGTAGAGGAGAGGAGAGGAGACAAGCAATACCTTCCTGCACTGCCTGGCCAGAGCCGAGGAGGGTCAGGAATGCCAGAGCTAGTAGGAATGATTTTTCCACGGATGGGCAAGAGGAAGGGTGCTCAAGAGCCAGGTGCATTCAGGGCTGCAGGGGCTGTTGGCATCGGCTCCCGAGGCATGGCACGGCTCCAAAGCAAAGCCATGCAAAATCCACCCCCCCATCACCTGGAGGCACCGGGGAGGGGACCAGGGGGGCTGCAGGCCACCAGCTACTCACTGCGAGCCGGTAACTCTGCATCATTTTATCAAACTCCTCATCAATCTTTTTATATTTCTCTTCCGTCTGCGGGGTCAGCGCAAACACTTCATCCCCTTCCGGGCTCTCGCACTCCCTGTGCTTCTTGTTCAGCGCCTGTTACGTGTGGGGGGACACGGGGGTGTCGGGGAGGGGGCGGGGGACGAGGTTGAGGGGAAGTCGAACAGAAGAGAAACAAAACAGAAAAGAACATATAATGAAGGTTTTCCAGGCACGGGCAGGTACTTACACCGTATCGCTTGAACAGGATATCCAGATCCTCGCTGCCTTTGCGGTATTTATCCTCCATCAAGGGGCTCTGGTCTATGGAGTCGTCGCCGTCGGGCTCTGGGCTGTCACAGCCGTTAAAACCTTTCTTTCTTAACGTCTGCAAACACAACCGGAACAGTCTGAGATGGGGCAGGGGAGGTGGGGAGCACGGGCAGGTCCCCCCAAAACATCCCCTGGCCTGCACGGGCCAGGACGTGCCCCTGTACAAATCAACAGCATCGCCCCAAGGCCTCAATGGGGTTAAAAAGTCAGGATACACCCCCTGGGTTTTGATGCCAGGGTGTCTCTAATTTAGGAATTACAGCATGGGGAGCAACAGAGAGAAACCTCCTTGTTTTCAAAGGCTCTGTTTACACCAGGACTGAATTTGGCCCTGCATGAACTCGGCATCTTCGTCATTTTCAGGTGCCACAACATCAGGAAGGGGGAAAAAACCTTCATGCTCTTTGCTGTCCTGCAAAAAACAGGGAAAACCCGCTTACAAACAGCCAAATAGGAAAATAAACCCCAAAATTATAGGCAAATTGTCAAAATGCTCAGAATTTCCTAACAAAACCTGCCAAGTGGCATTTGCCAAATGCAAAGGTGCCACAGGAAGAGCATCACATGGCAGGGAAGGTGGCACAGTGAGTGCTGCAAGCCCTGCTGGGGTGACACAGGGGGTGACGGTGACAAGACTGGGCAGCAAACCCCACACCAAGACTGGGCTCACAAACAGGAAAGGTTCCAGGCACTGCTACATTGAGGAAATGAGGTGGAGGGGCCCGGTGACCACAGGGCACAGTGACACCCCAAAGTCCCTCTGTCGTATTCAGCAGCCCAACATACCAAAAGCAATTAGGCTTTATGACAGAACCAGCACTTGCCAGGTCTTTTTTTTTTTTTTTTTTAGGAGTCAAAGATACAGAATTTCCTGGAAGTCTTGATCCCTTTTCATGCCAAATTCAGCAGGAGAGGGGAAAAAAAAAAAAAAAAAAGTCTTGACAATTCTCTGCCTTCCTAAACAGCAACAAACATCCCCATTCTGAGGCCAAACGGTATTTGGGAGTGGCTCTTCAGCTACCTGCGAGCTCCAGGAAACACAGAGCCTCTGGGGGAAATGCTGCTGGAGTGAATAAAACCCAGGATGTCTCCAGAGGGGTTGGGAACACTGCTGGCAGGGTTTGCTCAGCACCACAGGCTGGGCTCGATGGATCCTTCTGCCAGGTAGCCATGGCCAAGCAAAGGGCACCACACCCACCCCAGCCTGTTCTCCATCCAGCTGAAGCTTTTCACAATATTTTCCATTAAATTTACTCCTTCCTGGGCCTTCCCAGGCTCCACTTTCACCCTGGTTACTGGATTGCATTGCAGAGGGGAAATGTCCTTGTTCACACTCCAACTCACTCCTGACCATGGTCTGATGGTGTCACCAGTAATTCCTGATACCTAACAATTATTAACTAATTATCCAATGATAATTACGAATAATTCTTATACCTAATATTAATATTATACCTACTAATACTTAGTAATTCCTGGTGTTGCTGATTCCTGTGTTGAGTGTCTATAGAGCAGGGCACTGGGAATCAGTCAGTGCCAGGAACAGGAGATTCCCAGGCCTTTTTCTGCAGTTTCCCGAGGACTTTTCCCTATTATTTTTCTAATTTTGTACATGTCCTTGTTTGTTCTCAGAACGGCCCAAAAGAGGAAGAGGTGCTGCTGGTGGGGAAGGAACAGCTTTGCCTTTTTTTTTTTTTTTTGAAACTGCTTTTCGTGGATTTTTTTTTCCCTAAAACCTTTTGTTTCGCCGACGCAGCCGAAAGACGGAAAGTTGAGCTTTTCTCTAAAAAAAAAAAAAAAAAAAAAAAAAAAAGTCTTTTCCTTTTTCTCTTTCAGAGGCAAAATGGAAAAAGTTGTTCCATGAGCAGTGAAGCAATGAAGCTGGGTTTCCTTCAGGCACTGGAGAGACTCTCTGGTGTCTAATATGGGCTGTGCCCACCTCGACACGATTCCCCTTGCAGGGACAGGAGCTGGACCTCTCCTCTCTGCCCTCCCATCCCTGCCTGGGGATCAGGAAGGTAAATCCCTGAAAAATCCTCCTCTCCTCAAGCAACAGCTGTTGGTAGGTCAGAAGCTGTGGGGATGGACAAGCCACTGCCACCCCCAGGACCCTCAAAGGAGGGAACCTCACAATGGGATTTTTCAAGAGGTTTCAGCCAAGAAACAACATCCTTTCTAAAAACTGCCACCAGGGAGGTTTTTAGGCAGCTCCCAGAGCCCTCAGCTTTGCCCATATTTGAAACTTGAACCAAGCACAGAGATGAGCAAGGGGCTGCCACCACCAGCCTCAGCATTTTGCCATTTCTAAGTCCACCCAAAATCATCCTGGGGGTTGTTCCCTCAAGAAGCCTGCCAAGGAAAGCAGTGGAATGGGCTGGATGTGGCTCCTGAACCAGCTCACAGCATCACCCCTTCATCTTTCCCCAGGTCTTTCTCTCTGGGCCTCACAAATTCGGTGTCCCAGCTTTGCCTTGGTCTCTTTGCTCTCCCCAGCCACCAACTTTGTAAAATCAGTGATAACTGCATTGTTTATGAGACCCACAGCTCCTTGCAGGGTGGGTGCTCAGCAGCTGAGCTGTGAGGGGCAGCTGTGGTGTCACCATCCCTGCTCCTGCAGGAGGGCCACCAGCAGCCCCAGGAAGGGTCAAGCCAACTGTGCACAGGGGAAAAATCCTTCCCACGGGCAGCAGCGTGAGCTGGGACTGCAAACCTGTGAGCTGGGACAGCAAACCTGTGAGTTGGGACAGCAAACCTGTGAGCTGGGACTGCAAACCTGTGAGCTGGGACTGCAAACCTGTGAGCTGGGACTGCAAACCTGTGAGCTGGGACTGCAAACCTGTGAGCTGGGACTGAAACCTGTGAGCTGGGACTGCAAACCTGTGAGTTGGGACTGAAACCTGTGAGCTGGGACAGCAACCCTGAACTGGGACTGCAAACCTGTGAGTTGGGACTGCAAACCTGTGAGCTGGGACTGCAAACCTGTGAGCTGGGACAGCAATTCTGTGAGCTGGGACTGAAACCTGTGAGCTGGGACTGCAAACCTGTGAGCTTGGACAGCAACCCTGAACTGGGACTGTGACCATGACCCTGAACTGGGACTGTGACCCTGAACTGGGACAGTGACCCTGAACTGGGACAGCGACCCTGAAATGGGACTGTGACTGTGACCCTGACCTGGGACTGTGACCCTGAACTGGGACTGTGCCCCTGAACTGGGACTGTGACCCTGAACTGGGACAGCGACCCTGACCTGGGACTGTGACCCTGACCCTGAACTGGGACTGTCACCCTGACTGGGACTGCAAACCTGTGAGATGGGACTGTGACCCTGAACTGGGACTGTGACCCTGAACTGGGACAGCGACCCTGGGGCTGTCACAGTGACCCTGAACTGGGACTGTGACCCTGAACTGGGACAGCGACCCTGAACTGGGACAGCGACCCTGAACTGGGCCTGTGACCCTGGGGCTGTCACAGTGACCCTGGGGCTGTCACAGTGACCCTGGGGCTGTCACAGTGGCTGGGACACTGTGAGGAGCTGCAGGGAAGGGGATGGGGACGAGCTCCAGGGCTGCCAGGGCTGAGCACGGGGCTGATCCCAGCACGGGGGACGGGAAGCACCGGCGGCAGAGGGGCAGCAGGACACGAGACAAGGCAGCATGGCTTGCAGCAATCTGCTGCTCAACGAGAGCTCTGGGACAACAAAATGCCATTTCCAGCCATACGGGCGTTGGCTGCTGGTTCTTTCGGGTTTTTTTACCAAAAAAAATGTGTATCCCACATTTTTAGCTTTTTGTCAAGATGATGTAAAAGGAAAACAATTCTGCTGGAGCGGGAATCAAACCCAAAGATTCCTGTTTTTGGGATCTCTGCAAGGTCTTTTAGAAAAGAACTTTCCTTCTTATTTCTCCTCTTTCTTTTTGCCAGGCATAAAACAGAAGATGCAAAGAGGTTTTCAGGAAACCTTTCTGTCACTGGGCTGCAGCCAGCAGAACACAACCATTTTTCATATGGAACAGATTTAAAAGCAATTCCTTTACAGCAGAAAATTTAAAACCAGGGTGAGAACTTCCCATAGCAAAGCCCACTTCAGTCACCACCTGCCCCTCTCCCTGCCACACTCAGGTCCCCCCACTCTATCAGGACCCACTGCACATCCTGCTTTTCCAGGCAATATTCTGACTGCCACGATTGCAGCTCACAGGGGAGCAGATTTCCAACCCGAAGAGGGTAAGAGAGCAGCAGGAAATGCAGAACATGTGAGAGGAAACGATGCTCAACCAGGATGCAGTTGACTTCCCTTAGAGGAGGGAGACTCAACCACTCTGGGCTTTGGGGAAGTCTGGACGAGGATAAGGATGAGAATGAGGATGAAGACATTGACACTGGCAGCTGCCTCTGCGTTTTGCCACCTCCCCAGCATCCTGCAGAACGTCTGATTTAACACACCCTGGGGAACGACAACCCCGGGAAGGCGGATCAGGGGAAAATCAGCCCCTCCAGGCCATTCAGCCAAGGAAAGGGCAGAAAGGGCTGTGTGCCTTTAAGTGGCTGTGGAGCATCCTGGTGCCCGGCGAGCTCTGCTCTGTCCAGGTCCCTTATCAGGAGCTGGCACGTCAGCCGGGCTGGGAGGAAACGAGAAGCGACAGCGAGGAGCAAAGCCGGCGTGATCCCCGGCTGGGCGCGCACGTGGCACCCAGCGTGCCGGGCTGGGGGCTCAGCTGGCCCCCGCCTGATTAAGGAAACCCCCCTCTCTGCACCAGAGAGATTTGCTCAGACTTAAAAGCCTCAATCACCAGGACTTTGCCAGACACAGGGAAGCTGCGGGGGTTGTGTGGCCGAATCCCGCTCCTGAGAGCCACTGCTCGGCCCTGGCATAGCTGAAACACAGCTCACAGGGAATGGTCCCCAAAAAGCAGCTGGGGTGTGGAACCCCTCCTGAGCTAGGGCTGGGTATGCTCAGCATGGAGCAGCTCTGCTCTCACTAAATATGCAGGGGATGAACCCCTCAAGGACATTCCTGTGCAGCATGCCCTCAGTTCCACCCTCAGATCCACCTCTCCAAGACCAAAAACCAGGAGATCTCATGTTTACTGTCATTTTAAACAGAGCAACTCATCCTGCCTCGAGCTGTGGTACCAGTGCTGTTGGGCCCAGGAGCCCCCAGCCTGGCAGTGCTTGGCTTAGCCCTCCAGAGCTGCTGCTTGCTCCCCTTCCACCAGAAAAACAAAATCAAGAGACTTCTGCCTCAATTCCTCCAGGTCCTGGCTGCTCCTCATCCTTCCTGAGATGCTGCCAGAGCCACTCAAAGCCGAAGCCCTGAGCAGGAAAGGCAGGCAGACATCACAGTCAAGGTGGGTTGATGCAGCAGCCCCTTGAAATCCACTTAAAATCACATTTGGTGGCAGTTCCCAGCCTGGGTTCTCACAGTCCCTAAATGCTCAATGTGGGGAAGCTTCCAGAATGAGAAGATACTTTTTGTGAGTCAAGTTCAACTGGGAGCCACCAAGAAACAGGAGATAAATTGGATTTGTGTGCAGTGGGGACACGGTCGGGCTGTTGGAACCTGACCTGGGCGAGGGGAAAGAGAAATCAGCACAAGAGCAGGAATGGACTGGGGTCATGGATTCAGGAAACAGTAAAAATCTTAGAGCAGCCCCAACCCTGTTCCCAGACAAGACAAGGATGAGGAGGGATGCTTGAGCAGCCTCCAAACCTGCCTGCACCCCAGCAGGTTTTGCTCCATGACAGCTCTGCCAGCAAGCCATGCCGAGCCCGGCGTGTTTGGGCTCTTTTTCTTGCCATCCACCAATATCCTTCCGCTCCCGATGTTCCTCTCCTCGGCTTTGGATGCGGATCCAGCTTTTCATGTGGTGCAAACACAGCGTTTCTTTGGGTGCCAAGGACTGTGTGTAACTTGTCGGCTTGGGAGTGTTTGCATCTTGGACCATAAGGGAACAGAGAACGCTGCCCAAAATGTTTATGGTATTTTTAGGCCAAGACAAATCTGTTCGATGCTGCGAGCGCAGGCTGAGCATCCCGGAGAGGCTGCGGCAGGGAACCGCCGGCATCTGCACAGCAAAGGGGCATGACCTGGCTCAAACTGGCCAAAAAAGACATTTTGGAACCATTTTCAAGGCCCCCTACAAAACTGTGCTGTGGCAGAAGAGTGTCCAAACCCCAGCAAAGGATGGCAGATGCTGCGAGATGCTTGGTTCAGCCATGGGGTGAAAACCTCAAGTCCAAATCTCTCAAAAAGACACATTTTACAGAGGATAAAAAAGAAAAAGAAAGCAAGATTTTGGAGGGCAGGGGCAGGCTGAGTTTTTTTCCTTCTTCATGAAATCAAAGCCTCAGCAGACTGGCCAAGGGGCACCAAAGGAATTCAAAGGCTGAAGCAGAAGCCAAATTCCTCCAGCAGTGCAGGCCGTGCTGCTCCACTCTGCCACCAGTGGCTCTGAGGGCATTAATTGATGCCCATAATGCCACTAATGACAAAGCCAAGCCCTTCATTTGCCTGTCTGCCCAGGTTTAATGGCAGCTGCCCCCATGATGCAGACCTGCAGCTCCATCTGCACAGCCACTGCTGAGAGGATGTGACCAATGACCAAGGCACTGCTGGCACTGTCCTGTGAGCCAGATGTGCCCCGTGCTCCAGCCCAGCAATGCTCTGCCAGCACCAGGGACAAGGACAAGGCTGTGCAGAGGGTCAGTGTGGGGGCAGCACCAGCACAAGGCAGCTGAGCATCTCCTGCAACGCCAGCAGGCTGGAGGAGAGCGGCCTTGAAGTGAGCACAGTTTGGGCATGGTGCTGGGGATGGGTCACAAAACAGAGCCAGACAAGCCTTGAGCAAACCCACCAAGCCATGAGCTTGGCCATGCTTTGAGCAGGCACTGGACCATCCCACCTGGTCCATCTCACCTGAATTGCCCTGCAATTTGGCCACTGGAGCCTTCCCACAACCCCGCTCTGCCTGTCCGAATATCAGGTGGGGGCAATGTGACCAGCTGTACCAGGCACTTCAGAACAATGCCACCAGCTGCATCAGGCACTCCAGCAGGAGTTGCCTCCAAATCCACCTCGTGGTTTGCCTGGATTCCACAGTGGGGTCCCACAGAGCAAACCTGCACCTCAAGTTTCAAAGCATTAGGTAAACACAACTGGAGACAGCTTCAACGGAGTATTTCTGTAGGCTGAACCAAAACCACACAAAATCCATCTGGCACTGAGTGTGGGAGACCTGCTTGCTCCATCCCCACCCTGCAACAACCTCCTGCATCCAGTGTGGTACCAGACTCAGCCCTGGCAAAGCTGGGGGGCCTCACCTCGATGATGTCTGCGTTGGTCCGGCTCTCGTGGGGCTCGTTGTACTCGGTGTACTTGAGCAGCACCTTGTCCATGTCGGTGCTGGCGTACTGGAACAGCTTGTTGGAGTGGTTGAAGATGATGAGGGCGATCTCGCAGTCGCACAGGACGCTCAGCTCATAGGCTTTCTTCATCAAGCCAAACTTGCGCTTGGTGAAGGTCACCTGAAAGCAAAGACAGCCACGGTGAGAAGCTGCGCTGCCACAGACCCAGCAGCTCCCAGAGGAAAACTGAATGACCACTGGAGGAAGAGCAAAAGGAAGGGGAGTGCAGAAGGAATATTCTGTCTCAGTTTCCCCAACTGGACCCAACCCCAAGCTCTCCTCTCTCGCCTCCCTCTTCCAAACGGTTCATATTGCTGCCTATTTTGGGATCCTCCAAAGGCAGACACTTCACAAGCACAAAGATGATTATCAGCGTTGGAAATCACATATTGCCAAATCAAGAGAAAATAAATTTCAGCAAAATCCCCAGCAGAGCTGCCATCTGTCCGGGGGCTGTGGGTTTTTAAGTGGAATATTCAAGCGATCGAGATCTTGTCCTCGCTTGCTGCAGCTGCGCTGCGAGTGCCCAACCCTGGGGGCTACAGAGCTGGGGCTCAGCACCCCAAAACCACCCAGGGGTGCCCACCCCACCCCTGATTCACCAGCCCCCACTTATCCCACCAGGCTATGCTTCCCCAAGGGCACCACGAGTCCTCTTGTGCTGCTTTCATCTTGCTGTCCCTTTGTCCCAGACAAGACAAGGATGAGGAGGGATGCCCAGGGACCTCGCTGGGGTGCTTTTCTTCCTTGCCCGCCCAACTGGGGTCCCCTGCGTCCCCGACCCGCCCTGCCTGGGGCTGTAGCAGCGCTGAGGAGGCAGCTCCTGCAGGACTGATGCTGGCTGGGGCTGGGGCCAGCACTGGGGCTGGGTGCTGGCTCCAGCAGCAGCTCCAGCTGCCGGGCAGACGCTGGGCTGTGAGCCCCAGCCCACGCTCGGCTCTCAGCACCACGCTGCTAACAGGAGCCAGCTGCTGGAGAGGGAGCTGGTTTGGGGCTCCCTGTCCCGGCTGCAGCTGCTGAGGGTCCCCCACCCCCAGAACACGCGGCATGCTGACGGGGAAGGCGCGACGCTTGGCCAGTGCCCTCTCAGCAAATAAAAAGCAGAAAAGGAAAATAAGAGGTGGGAGGTCACGGCTTTGTGCTGAGCATTGCTATGGGGGCAAAGCAGCCGCCAGGGGAAGGGCTGGAGATGAGCTGAGATGCCCCTGGGTGCCAAGAGCTGCTCCCTCTCCACGTGGGAAGGCTGAACACCACTCTAGGCCTCCACCACAGCGTCAGTTTTGCAACAAACAGCTTTAATTCATAGAGCAGAGCGAGGAGAGTGAATGAGGCTGCTGCCTTTGCTCAGCCTGCCAGTGGTCTGAAGAGCTCAACATGGAGCTTCCAGCAGCACCCAGAACGCACCCTCAGGGTCCTGCACCTGTCGGAATCTGTGGGTATTGGTGATTCCGAGATTGTAGAAAGTCTCTGTCTTTCTGCCCCGTTGCCAAAGCAGAAGCCATAATTCGTCTGTGCTGTTTTCAAGGGTGTTTATTCTGTTTATCTCTAACATGTTCTGCTGCCCTGCCGCAGCTCTGTCCTGCAGGGCAGCGTGTGGGGCTCTGCCCTCAGTGGGATGTTACAAACATTAAATACCACAAACTACGTGTACTATATTTACAATAATGTGCCAATATTTATCATCTACGTTGAACAGTGTGTCCCCAGCCTAAACCAATAGAAAAATGCCAACATCACCAAGAACATGGAGGTAAGGAAGAAGAAGGAGGAAGAACAGGATCAGACCCACTTTCCTCCATCTTAGAACTCCTGACCCCCATGTACAAAGTAAAACCCCCCTGTACAGGTACTAAAACCCCCTTGTACAATACTAAAAAATTTTTCCCTCTAATTTGTGACTACTTTTACTATACCATCTAACCCTCTGTGACTGCTTGTTCCACCTTCAAAGTTGGTAATTCATTCCATGGTTCAAACTCAAGATCACAGCTGTTTTCAGCTGCTTGCCAGGGTCTAAAATGCTTTTGACCAAGGCCTGGAACCTCTAAAAATGTCTGAGGGACATTTTGAGTTCCGACATGCACCCCTCGAGACAAAATCGTGTCCTCACGTGTGGCAGGAGGGAGAGCAGGGGCAGCTCTGGGCACGCTTGGCAAGGGGAGCTGCTGCCCCTCCCCGCCATCTCCCCGAGATAATTAAGCAGTAATGAGATTCAGCTCTAATCGCCTCATCCCCTGGAAAGTGCAGGGCTGGTGCCACGTGCGCCTGCTTCGGCCACGCGCATTGGCAGCGCCGCCCCGGCCCGGCGCTCTCTGCTGCAAATTAAATCACTCCAGGGCCAGCTCCCATGTCACCAACAGCTCCCCCTCCCCAGCAGCATTCCGGACTTCTCAGCCTCCCAAAACCTCTGCTGGTGGGCAGCTCCCAAGCCCAGGCAGTGCACACTGACTCCAGGTCGGACCCAGCTGCAGTTTGCTCCTGCAGCCATGGCAGGACAGGCTCTAAAACCAAAACCTGTCCCTCTGCCCCTCTTGCCCAGCAGGACCTGTCTCGCTGTCCCTGCCAGGGTGGCCTCCAGGCTCTCACTGGCCCTCAGGAGGAAACAAACAGCCCAGGGTTGCTCCTGCAGCCACCAGTGCCGGGGACACTTGGCCAAAACACACCTTGCCAGGCACCACGATGGGCTCAGCCACCAAGGCTGGAGGGAACGTGGTGAGGCTGAGATGTGGAGTCCAAAAAATGGGGCAGCTCTCGGCCTTGAAGGCCAGTGACAAGCATGGTTTGGGTTCTGCCCTTGAGTAGTGAAGAGTGTGGGGTCATCCTCCCCAAATTAACCAGCAGCCTGGGCAGAGCTCAGCAGAACACTAAACACCAAATTATCCCTCTAGAGATGAGGGGATATCCCTCTGCAGAGGGCCCAAGAGCATCCCTCTCTATTGGCATCCCTGTACCTTGCAGAGAAAAGCAAGGATCTGCCATTTAGCCACCACACCACTCAAAAGCATCACCTAACAGGGCTGTGTGCATCCACTCATGACCTGGGACAGAAACCTCAAACCTTCCCTGACGCCGTGCATGAGCTTCATCTAGAAGAATTAACCTTGTAAGTCTAAGAGGGTAATCAAATCTCATGCTTCAGGGCATAAGCCGATCACCAAAGGGGTCAGGAAGGAATTACTGCCCCACACTAGCAGGGGATTTTTTGCCTTTCCCCTGATGTAAACCATATTGGCAGTTACCAGAGTCAGTGGCCTGGCCCTGAAGGACTGATGGCCTGATCTGTTGTGGCAAATCCTCTCCAGTAATTCCTCTAATGACATTAGTGACTCTTACTTGCTCTCCTCCCCTGGTTTTGGCTGCTGCTGTAATTCACAGAATCACACACTGGTTTGGGTTGGAAGGGATCTAAAAGCTCATCTTGTCCCACCTCCACTATCCCAGACTGCTCCAAGCCCTGTCCAACCTGGCCTTGGACACTTCCAGGAATGGGGCAGCCACAGCTGCTCTGGGCACCCTGTGCCAGGGCCTCTCCACCCTCACAGGGAACAATTTTCTCCTAATTTCCAATCTAAATCTCCCTCTTTTCAGTTTAAAACCATTCTCCCTTTTTCCTGTCACTCCAGGTCCTTGTTGAGGTCCTGGAGCCCCTTTAGATCTCCATGGAGCCTTCTCCAGGCTGAACACCCAGAGCAGAGGTGCTCCAGCCCTCAGAGCATCTCCGTGGCCTCCTCTGGACCCACTCCAGCAGCTCCACACCCTGCTGGAGCCTCGTGTGGGCTCGTGGTTCATGCCCCCATGGAAGGCAAAACCTGGGACACGAGCAGGGCCAGATGATGCTGCAGGCTCAGTGTGAGCTGCAGGGAAGAGCTTCACCTCGCACCAAAGGCTCTGGAAGAGCCCCTGCTGAGCCCCAGCAGCCCCTGCTCGGGATGAACTTGGCAGCAGGAGTGGAAAGGCAGGTGTTGAAAGCAGCTCTGCCTCCACCTCCTTGCGCCAGCACTGCTGAATCCCTCATTCTCCAGGGCATCCAGGGCATCAGCCCCACATTCCAGCAGCTCAGGAGAGCTGACCCTGCCCTCAGCCCCCAGCTGGAGCAGGGACAGGGGTGCTCTGGGGGCAGGGGTGGGCTGAGGATGCTCCCAGGCTGGGTTTAAGCCAGTTTAGCTGACAGCCTGCAGCCACAGCAGGCAGGCACGCATCAGCTCCTCATCACTGAGCCCCAGCAACAGCAGGAGAGGGAGGGAAGGACAGGGAGAAGCCAGAGGTGGCTCTGGGGAGACCTCACTGCAGCCTTCCAGCACTTAAAGGGGCTTATCAAACAAACAGAGAGGGAATTTTACATGGGCAGACAGTGATGGGACAAGGGGCAGAGTTTCAAACTGAAAAATGAGAGATTTAGATGGGATATTAGAAGGAAATTTTTCCTGTGAGGGTGCTGAGGCCCTGGCACAGGTTGCCCAGAGAAGTTGTGGCTGCCCCATGCCTGGAAGTGTCCAAGGCCAGGTTGGACAGGGCTTGGAGCAGCCTGGGATAGTGGAAGGTGTCCCTGCCCATGGCAGGGGGGTGGGACGAGATGGACTTTTAAGATCCCTTCCAACCCAAATCATTCCATGATCCTATGAGATAAAACAATATGGGACACTTCTGACTGTGGGGAGGGGATGCTGGCATTGCTCATGCACAGCATGGACCAGGAGAGTGGAGCAAGAGAATTCTCACCCTCCTGACAGCTCCTACCACAGTGGATAGAGCAGATCCCACCATCTGGAGCAGTCCTTTTTAATGAAATGTCCCATCTTCCTGCTATGTCCTTTATTCCCAAAGAAAGGGAGCAGTGAAAATTGATTGCAAAGCTGTGCTGGTGACCAATTAAACAGCTGCTGCTTTGCTGACACCCAGTTTGATTGGGCTGGTTTCTGGAAGCAAAGCAAGATGTGCTGCACTGGGTTGGAGAGAGATGCTCCTGTGCTGGGCTTTGGCAGAACCAGCCCAGCCAGGAAAAACCAGCGTCCCCCAGCCCAGGGAACTGGGTTTTGGGGACACCTGACATCAGAGATGCACTAAAGCCATGACACCCAGCCATGCAAAGCAACTCCTGCTGCCAAATCCCACCCAACGCTGTGAGACCTCAGCAAGGGTCTTTATCTCCAGCCAGGGCTGAGGATCAGCTCATCCCTCATCCCTCAGCTGCTGCCTCGGCAGGGAAGTGCCTCTTTCCTCTCCTGAAGGTCTATCCAGCCATCCCCCTCCAGCATTACCCATTATTTTCCATTTGTCTGAATTTCCAGCAAGGCTCCAGTCACTGCAGATCCCTCACTCCCCTCTACACCACTGCCCCATAAAATACACTCCAGATCCTTCAATAACCCCTAGGGCCCTGCTTCCTCCTCATGATGGATAGAAACAGCCCCAGGAGCAACTGGGACATCAGCAGAAACTATTTCATTCCTGCCCCAGCCCCCACCACCAAGTGAAGCTATAATGAGGAAAATCTGCCATTTCCTATTGTTTTGCTGTGGAGCATAAAGTGGTTCATCCAGTTCTGTTCTTTGACACTCATTAAGGATTAGGAATATATCCATATGCTTTTTTATTGGTTTTTTTTCTGTTTTTCTGGAGTGAAAGTGGCAGGGAAGAAGTGTGGCAGGGTGCAGTAGTGGCTGGACTAAAGGAAGAGACTTGGATCTGCTGAGCCAAACTCCAGGAGCACAGAAAGCAAAGGGACCTGCCTGGAAGTCTTGTGGTAATGGGAAATACATGGACAGAGTCATCCCAGAGCAAACCTGGGCTGGCAACGTGCCGCTGCTCCACCACTCCAGTTTAAGGAACATGGAAATTTGGGAAAAATCTGTCGGTTTTTGTTTTTCCTCTGAGATACATGAACGCATTCCTACACACATGCACATGCGTGTCTTGGGCTTGGCTTCAAGAGAGCCCAAGGAAAAAAGCCCTGGAGTCATTTAAGTCTACAATTGAAGGGGAAAAAAAAAAAGGAATAATTTGAGTTGTTTGCGTTCAGCAAAATGGATACTTGTTGTGGCTGTTTTTTATTGGAAAAACCACATGGAAAATGTCAACTGAAATATATTTTCTGCAAGACAAAAATAAAAAAAAAAAAAAAAAAAGGGGGGGTGGGGAACTAACTAAGTGGAGAAGATACTTTCTTCTGGAAAAGCACTTAGATGGAAAGAGCTCAAGGAACTCCAAGGCGAGGAGCAACGTTTGCCTGGTCCTGGATCCGCCTGGATCCGGCCTAAGCCTCTGCTTCTTTTATGGACTGGGGAAAACACAGCACCGGTGGCCCAAAATGGGCTGGAAATGGGTCATTCTGAAACATGGCACATAAAAGCCCCACAGGAAGAAGGGTGAGGGAGCGGGGAGAGACAGCACTGACCTGCCGGTTGCGCTCGTCCGTGATCCGCTGGATCTGGATCTTTTTTCTCCCCATCTTCTCCGGAAATCCTCACCGCACCCGGCACGACTTCGGCTCAGGGGAGGGGAGGAGTGACCCCGCTTTAAAACGCTTTCATTAAAGAGCGTGGGGGGCTTTTTTCTCGGGCGGAAAACAAACCCAAAAGAAGCCAAAACGAAAAAAAAAAAAAAAAAGGAGTTTTGCGTGGCTCCGTGCTCAGTTCATGGTACCGTCATACGCAGCCAGATCCAGCGGGGCTGAGATGGCAGCAGTGCTCAGAAACCTGCACAGTGAGAGAGACAGGAGTGAGACTCTGTTCCCAAACCCCTTCCAGGACCCAGCACCCCACCAGCAGATCCCACCCCGAGGCCAGGGTGGGCTCTGGCTCTTTCTCCCACCCAGCCCCGGGGCCAGGAGAGCTGCAGAGGGTTTATCCAAACTGGCCTCAAAGCTGCCCAAGGATGGAGGGCAGGGACACCAGTGCCACAGGACACGTGTGGGCCGGGCACTGCCACGCTGGGCGAGGAGGAGGAGATGGCAGCAGTGAGCTCGTGAATCACTATTCCTCTGTGACACTCCAGACTTTTTTTTTTTTTTTCTCTTAATAAAGTCATAAGCAGTCGAGTGGCTGGTGATTAGCTCGGGCAATTTAAATCCGTCTCCAGTTTCTGCACTAATCTCCAGTTTGGAATTTTAAAATGTCTTTATTTGATTACTTGAAAGAAACCTTATAACCAGGCACAGAAACCTAATTCTTATGGGGAAGGAGGACGCTGAAAGCAGCTGAGACAGCCTGGCCTTCCACTGGGCTCAGCCACAGCTGAACACGGATCTAGGGGTTATCTTGTGCCCAAAACTCTCCCCAAAGGGACGAGTGCTGCTCCTTTTTGCAGCCTCCCCATGGGAATCTGCGTCCCCCAGCACCAGAAGCTGCACCCAGATGTTCCAGAGCACCTCCTGGCACAGCCCCCAGCCCATCTCACGCCATTTCCCAGCGATGGGACAAAGAGGGAACTTCAGCCAGTTCATTTTCCACAGGTATGTCATTCTCCCTGCTCTCTCTGTGAGCAGCTGGGTAACAGCAGTGATAACACTGCATTTAAGGCAAGGTGCCCTGTGCCAAGACCCAGGCAAAGGGAAAAGCCAGTCCCAAAATAGCTTCCTATCTGCCTCAACTTGGCAGTCCCCAGCCCTCGGTCTTGTCACAAAAAGCATTAAAAAAACCCAAAAGCTTTTTCTCCCAAATTCAAAGCAGCAGCCACAGCCAACCTGACCAAGCTCCTCCTGCTCCTCTCCCACCCCAGAGCACCCCCAGACCCTGCTTAAGACCACGGCCCCATCCTTCACCTCCTCATCAGACCATGTTCCAACAAAGAAGCCCTAAAGGTCTCACTCCCACACTCGTTTTTGGGGTTCACTGAGTCATGTGAGTCACTTAAATCTTTTTCTCTGCTTTTTTCAGGGGTAAAGTTATTCATCGTGCATCATGTTGTGTGGTTTCAGTGCAAGCTGAAGGAGCCCCGAGGAGAATGGGCAATCTTTTCCCCATCATGACATCCACAATTTGCCCTCCAGGGAGGATGAGGTATGGGGAGGCCAGGAGGAAGACCAGAGAGACAAAGGGCAGCAAAACCCGGGGTTTTTTACACATAAATACCACCAGTAAGACTCTTTGCAAGGTCAGATCATACAGGGATGGCATTTAATTCTTGAGACATTATTTACCAAAATAGGTGCACGTTTCCTTCCCAGCAGCAAACAGGAGCAACCATCCAGCTGTGAGAAGCACTGTCACCATGGGGAACACTGAGCCAGCGCCAGAGGCATATCCTTTGGCTGCTGCTCCCCATCCCACCGTGGGAAGCCCCAAAAAGATAAATCCCAGAGCATCACCAGTTTCAGAGCATCACCGCCCCAGCTCGCACTGTGTGAGTATCCCTCGAAGGCTGGGGATACAGGAAGAGCCAAAAGGAAAATGAGGATTTTTATTTCATCCACCTGCAGTGTCCTCTCGGTGTTTCCCTCACTGTGAGCCCACCCAGGAGAGAACCCACAGCCCAAAGGCTTGGATTTTGCACACACAAAGAAACTTTGGAAGAGGAGGAACTTTCTGTCGGGTTTGCTTTGCCGCTTTTCCCTTCAGAGTTGCCACTTCTCTAAACTGGCTGAAAAATATTCACCTTCAGCATCTTCAAAACCACCAGCAGCAGCACAAAGTAGCAACAGCTCCTCAACCAGACACAGGGCAAGATGCTAATTCTTTCCGTGTGCTGCAGCTCTTGGACAGAGAAACCCTCTGAAAGACAGCGGATTTACCGTCCAAACCAGAGAGGAACTCTCCAGAAGCAACAATAAACACTGGAGAACAACGGGCAGTAAATTTAAACTGAGTGAAAGGAAACATATTTTAACACAATTTCGTTGCGGGACTTGTTCACAGGATGCTATGGCAGCCAAAAGCTGCACAGTGCTCCAAGAGATGGGATGTTTGTAGGGATGAGGCAAAAACCCCAGTGCTGCTCATCCCTGCCCTCAGCTCCACACGAGCTGATGTTTCTTGCATGGAATTCAAACCACATTCCTCTCCCCAGGCCACAAATACACCCCAAGTGTTTCAAACCAAATCCCCTTTTTCAACCACCAAACCAGGCTCCTCCTGCTGCTCTGAATCCCAACTCTGCATCCTCAGCACCTGGGTTGGATGGGGACCATGGTCTCAGCCTCAGGGTCTGCCCATGCTGCTGGATAGAGTTTTCCACAGGAAAAAGGTGATTTAACAGGTTTTTGCTTATCAACATGGGGAGTAAAGGAGCTGCCATGTGGTGCTCCTGACCCCTCTACCCTGCATGAGAAGGAAAACACCCCATGGGGAGGGCAGCCCTTGGATGGGGTGAAGAGGAGGGACAGAGGAGAGCACAGCATGTTTGCTGCCCTCCAAATGCACCTGACAGGGCATTTCAAACCCCTCCCTTTTTTCTTCATGGAATTGGGGTTTTGGGGTGAGTTTATTTGTTTTTAGGTTGGGTTTTTTCCCCCCACAGTATTTTTAAACCCAGGTATTTTCACGTTTCCTGCCCAGGTGGCTGTTTCACAAAGTCCCACCGCTGGCTCGAGTTTCTGAACAGCAGCTGGAAGAGCAAGAAACCTGGAGAGCTGCCCTCATCTCTCCTGTCCCTCCTGCTGGCACTGCTACTGTGGCTCAGCCCCAGCCCAGGAGGATCCCCTCTGTCCCTGGAGCTCCCTCTCCTTCACCACCAAACTGCTCTGGCTCCCTGATTGCCCAGCCTGAGGCACCAAGACCACCCAGGACCCTCCTCTGTGCTCAGGTGGAATTTAAGTACCTGAACCTGCACAGCCAAGCACCCAGAGCACAGGATTGCTACAAGGAGCTGAGTTCCTAAATAACTTCCAACTTTTGGGGTCACAAATGATTTTATATCCAATAACCCCACTCATTAAATCACCATCTCCTCCTTCTCAGACAGCAGCTTCTTTCCTTCTCCAGAGCCTCGCTTTCCAAGGAAACCACCCAGCGTCCCAGCTACTACAGCCTGCCAAGGAGGGTCCAAGGGCATGGAAAGGGCCCTGCAAATCTGCTGGTGGAGCACTGAAAAAAGCCAACCCTGACCCTCTTCCACTCCCAGGAATCTCATCCAGGATCAGGAAATTCAGAGGAGCTCTGGGATGGAGGCAGCCGCCAGCGCCCGCTTCCCCCTCCCCGCGCTGCTCGCACAAGTGTGACTATCACGGCAATTAGCACACATGCCAATTAACTCCGAGCAGGTGCTGGTTAACTCTGTGCTGAGTAATTCATCCCCGGCTCCCAGTAAATTGCTCCAAATTGGAGAGACAGGCGAGAGAGCAGAGTTAGCATTTTGCAAATGGGGGAAGAAAGAAAAAGCGCAGAGGAATCTCAGCTGGGAGATGTTTTTACAAAACAAAGAATCTGGGGGGCTGAATCCCCAGCTCCGAGAGCTGAGGACACAGAGGAGCTGATATCTCTTTCAAGTCTTTATTTCTGGATTTTTTTTTATCTACTGTACAAACTTCTGATCTATTTCACCTACTTCTAAGTGGTTTCACCTTTGCTTTGCACGAGCGGCGGGGTGCCCTGCACTGCTCCATAACTTGTCACTTTTCCATTCCTACTGAACGGCCCCACGTTTCTCTCGGCACAAGCAGGGACACTGGGAGTCTCACATCCACTTTCTACAGCCATTTGCTATTTTTAATATACTTTTATTGCATCCCTTTTTAGTCGCTCCTTACTAAAGTTAGCTCGACACACCGCCCCTCTCCAGAGCAAAGGAATTCAGCTGCCCTTCCTTAACACCCTCCTTGCACCGCCCTGTGCTCCCAGCACAATGTCAGCTGAAAGAAACCAAACCCTGGCCACGCAGCTGAGGAGGGAAGATCAAAAAGATTCATCTGAAAGCTTTAGGAAGATAAATAAAGGCAAATAAATGCATCCTTTCCAAAAGTGTATTTTCCTTTGGAGCTCTTTGCTCTTCCCAGCATGTGGCACCGTGCTCCCCAATCCACTCGTGCCTGTGCAGGAACACACAGCAGAGCCAGTGACACGAGGGAGGGCAAAATTGGGATGGGCTTCACAAGGCACCAGTTCAAGGGACGTTTTTCTCATCTCCATCCCCAAAACAGGTCCAGTGCAATGGGGACAAGGAAATCTCCAAAAGGAGCTTCAGAGAACATCTGGAGGCTGGGAAAAGAAGAAAATCACCCTGCGAATATACAGCTCATCTTATGGAGGCACAGAAAGTCCCAATTTGAAGGGAGAAATGCAGGTGACAGGCATGGCAGACCACAGCCCAACCCAGCAACTGCTCCCCTCGGGTACCCAATGCTCTCGCTGTGGGACCAACCCATCTTTTACCCAAGCTTTGCAGAATGTGCACGTCCCCCAGGTGTGTTTTTTCCTTAACAGGCTCCATCAAGTGCTGAGAGTAAGGGGAGGGTGCTCCCTGCCACTGTGCACCCCCAAGAACAGAGCACTTGACACAACTGAGTTCATGGACCAAGCCCCAACACATTTTAGGGGGTGTCACGTTTATCCACATACAGAAATGACAGCAAGAATAAGTCCTGGTCTTGCAGCTCCTGTGAGAAAAAGGTCATTGCAAGGGAGCTTTAGCACACAACCAGTGGGCATGTGGGGTACAAGGTGTTACAGAACTGTAGAACGATCTGGACAGATTCTTAAAGCTCATCTCATCCCTCCTCTCTGTCACTCACCCACAGGGAAAAACTTCTTCCCGGTACCCCATC